ACCCTGCCTTTCCAATTCCATTATAACGGGTTCCAAACGTGCTACCAAATCCTCATAGCTCTCACCTCGTGGATAACGATAGGAGAATTTATTTTGGTCCCTTGCAGCAAAATCCGTTGGATATTTATCGGATATCTCCTCGTAGGTCATCTCTTCGCAAATTCCCTGATTAAATTGATTAGGTACTAGTTAAATGTTAAGTTGGTAGAGAAAGAAAGATAGTGAACAGGAATAGAAAAAAAAAAATAAAAAGAAATGATAAACGAATAGCACAAATGTCAATGACTATTTTCTTCACATAAAATTATTATTAATAATAATAATAATAATAATAATAATAATAATAATAATAATAATAATAGAGAAGAAAAAGTTTGATAGAATAATACGGAATCGTCAGAGCGATACCAAATGATTATACGTCCTGAACATACGGCATCAATCTCATTGAGAGCCTTCCATCTTTCCTGTGGTGCTTGCACGTCTGCTACTGTCTGTATAGTCCTTTTCAACCAGCTCGTCCATACTCTAAGACCCTGTACACAAAATTTAGAGCATCGCATATGAGATAAAGAACCCTCCTTAGGAATTAAAGTTAGAAAAGGAAATGTCACGGATACGAGTTAACTTTGACTTTTGATAGTCCCCTTCCCACCATTCGATCAGCTGCTAGATTGATATTATTATGATTATTTTTCTGTGAGTAACATATACACAAGTAGGAAACTTTCCTTTAGATATAATTCCTCTTATTCTCTTCGCAAAAAATGATATTATTAGAATTGTTAATTAATCTACACCCGTGAACTTATAATTGTCTATGAGATTCAATAAAAAAAAATCGAAAAAAAATATATAAAAAAAAAGAACAAAAAAACGATTTTTTAAACGTGGGTGTGGCAATTCAGATTGACTCTAAGAAGACAATGAATTGAATGTTGGAGTAATATAGACCTGAATATCCTGACTGGTAATGTAGGTAGCTAATGCCCTGGCGTACTCCCGACCTCTTTCACTAAGATCCGAGTCACCTCCTATTCTACCTTCCAGATTCATCATACTCTCGCCATGCCTGGTTAGATATATAGTACGTGGTACAATGTGTATGTTCATCAAATAGTAGACGATTCTGCTCTGTATGTGCCCCTCGTGTTTATGAACTATTACTTTTTCTCCGGTGTTATAGATTTTCATGAAGGACAGATCGTTCTCGTAATCCTCGTCCAATGGCTGATATCTTTCTCTATAGTGTTCGATCCGCAATATAAAGTCGGCCAATACTTCTTCCTTATTCATATTAGCATAATCTGGGCTGCTGACTTTGACCTAACGAACATGAACACATAATACACTGGCTGAGAGAGACAAGAGATACAAAAGAATTGTAATAGATTAGAGAAAATGTAGTTTATAAATTAGGTGGAAGAATTATATCTTATCTTTATTCCTTTTTTATTACTATAATACTATCGTTTATAATACTTATATTGTTTTTTGTTCTTTCACGTTAAACGAAAAGCAACTTATCGACCGCTAGAGTGATGATATCATCTACGTATTGTATTAGTAACTCAATACGGTTATACATTGTAAATTAATTGAAAAGAGAATGATTGTGTATTTCCTTTACCTCCATGATATTTTGCTCGACTATTTCAGGATCGTTGCAAACGGATTCAACGAAAAATAATTTGTAATCCATTTTCGTGACAACGATGTCATGGATCATTCTACGACGATCCACAGTAGAATTGGTGGCATCGAAAACGGCAACCTCGCCATCACCACTCTCCAGCCAACGACAAACATCGTTCAATGCGTCCACAGCACATTGGGTCCGTATTGCCATAGCTTTGATATTATCCGCACGGAAAAATTCGTGACATTGATAGGCAGTAGTGGCATGTCTTCTATACTCCCCAAGATTAAAGACCTTCGTGCTTATTCCGATCCAATTGAGATACCTGCAGAGCTTCTTTGAAATGTAGGTCTTGCCACGAGCTGGCAAACCCACCATAGCTATTACATGGGGTTTGTTTACAAAATTAGCTCGTTCCCCTAGAAAAGGAAAGGTCAAACGAAGAAAATAAATGGAATCTTTCATTTTCATCATTTATAATTGTACTTTTATGATCATATTTATGATATAAATTATTATATTGATATAAATGTTGATCTTGAGTATTTTAGAAAAAAAAACAAATTTTTATATTTTATACAAAAATTAATTTGTTTCTTTTTTATCTTTTTACAACACGTTATATATATATATATATATATATATAATGTGTGTGTGTGCGTGTGTGTAAGTTCGTGAGTCAACAAAACGAGAGATATAAATTTTCCAAAGCTCATTGCGGTCAAACGAGAAGTCAATGTTATCACGTTAAATGTACATGGCTCATTGCATCCCAAGCTACGCTAATATAATTTATTGTTTGAGGTCTGTTTGTAGAACAGACTGCAAAATATACGTATGTAATATATATATTTAGTTCAATAAAGAGATATTTTTTATTTTATATTTTTATTATTTGTTTTTTTCTTCTCTGCTATGAAATGCAGACGATCTTATATCACAAGTATATCTCATATTACTCGTCATCGGAGAATTATGAAGGAAATATCTCCTTTGCAAATCTGTTAGCATAATTTGTTTTTATAAGTTATCATGATACTTGTCACAATCTACAAGGCAAATATTTACGAAGGTATCGTCGACAAATTTACGAGCAGTACTGTATTTTACAGTAATATTAACATTTATGTAGCAAAGAAACTTACAAATTGAATTCCTAGAATAACAAACGTTTTTGTTACAATATTATATACAAGCTGATTAAATTAACATATAATGTTTTAAAAATATTTAACCAAATGTATTATGTTTTAAAGAAAAATAATTTAATTATCGGCTGATAAAAAATGTAAATCAAAGAGACTACAATATCGAGTATCCAGAATCTTATCGATAATAATAATCTTTTGAAAGTAATCTTGCATTCTAATGAGCAATGATAATATGTATATACAATATCAATAATTAACAAATACATCTCCCTATTTGTCATGATAAATAGATTAATAAACCAATATTGATAAAATTAAATATCTTATCGAGATCGAGGAAAACATGATACATACGTACATAAAATACTAATAGTATATATAAAACCATGCATTTTTTACAAATAATTTAATATTTGTAATTTTTAAAAACGTAAAAGAATACCGTATTTTGATAAAAACGTTGTTCAACAATATTCGATAATAATCGTCAATATTCGTAAATTGTTCGTAAAAATTCACCAATTTCCGGTTTTATTTTAAAACAAAAAATTCGAAAAGGATATATATATAATAAGTAAATATTTCAAACATTTAAACGATAAATCAAAATAAATTAGTTAAAATAAGATGAATTTACAAGCAATGATAGGGGTGGAAAAAAAATATAAAACATAATTTGTTGGTCGAAGATGACGACGAGCACGTGGCGCGAAAGCGCGTCTATTTTAAACGCAACTTCTTTGCATCTCGTCTTGTAATTTTAATAAACGAAATGAGAGTGGCGAATTCGATCGAATTTTCGTAGATCGTGCCAACGATTCTTATTTGATTCCCCCTCTAACCCGATTGTTCCTTCACTATCCTTTATTTTTCACCTCTATCTCTATTTCTATCTCTCTTGCTCTCATAGTTCATGTTGTTTTCTCTATCTCGCTCGCACTTCCTCTCTGGCCACCACGCTTCAATACTTTTATTATTCTCTCTGTGACGACGCTATTTACGTATATATTCAAGTATACGTACTTACATACACAATTTATGTACACAACGATCTTAAGTATTATTTTATTCTATCCTTGCGTATTTGCGTCTTAAAAGTCTCGTTATTTCATTTTAACGATAATATTATTAAATGTGCGCGTGCTTCCTTAACGTATATCGATCTTATTTTCTTGCCAAAAAAAATTGAATGAAATCAAAACAAATAATAAATTTTAAACGAAAATAGAAAGAGAATGGGGGGAGAGACAACAGAAAAGTGTGTGAATATGAACGAACGTGTATATAAGTTTTGCAGGTTATGTTTCCCGTGAAAGAGGTACGATAGAACTGTCAAAGCAAAAAAAAAATGTTAAGAAGTAGATAGAGAAAAAAATTTTCCGAAGAAAGAGAAAGATAGATAAGAGTGTGAGAAAAAGGGCAGATCGAGAAAACACGTTCTTTCGTGATTGATTGAAAAAAGAAATGTTATTTTGTAATTAAAAGAGAAAGAGATTTCTCTGTAAATAAGAACTAATAATAAAAAAGTGGCATACCTCGGATTGGAAATGGTTTTGTTTGTATCGTGTCCGACGTTGGTGGTGTATAATGCATCTCAATTTTCGGATCGGTCATCCTAGAATTCCAAAGTTTCCTACCTCACGAAACGTAAACGTTATTCGAACGCAGAAACCGTACTACTACTGAGTTCCTCCGTCCGGTTGCGCGGTACAAAACGGTGTTGAATAGAAACAGAAACACGGGAAGAAAGATGGACAATGAAAGAGATGAAGAGAGAGTAGAGAGGAAAAGAAGGAGACTCGGAGAGAATGAAAGTGGAGGGGAGAGGAAAAGTTCAGGGTTGAAGAACTGTCACACCAACTACCGATTACTTTATTCCGTATCTTTTCGAAGTATCGAAGTATCATTTTACTAGACGTATCATCTTCCTTATTTTTTTATCAAGTGATTTTGATTGAACCCGATTGTTCAAAATCTTAATTATCTTTCTTACTGACCAATCAATGTAAAAATATGTATGAAATATGTGCATAATTTGTCGTATCTAATACAAAATTAAATATAATAACAACATAATGTGAAGTCTACTTTGTTTGGAACGAAATAAAAAAATAGCTATACAACTATTATTGATTAGTAACTACTAAAAGGTTATATACTTATTTTTTCTATTTAACATTTTTTTTTAGAGTGAATCATTTTATAAACAGTTTTACAGAAATATACATATATTATATTAAATATTATTTCTCATAGTAAACATCAACGTTGTGAGAATTAAATTAGTTATATTAAATTAGTTATGTTAAAATATTATATATCATGTATACATTATATATACATATCACATGTATTATCTCATAACAAACGTTTTAATTAATTATATTTTTCCAAAAAAGGATCGATAGCTTCGATTAATAATTGTGGATCATTTAAATGAATATGATGTGTATTTGGTATTAAGTAATATTGACAATCGATACTACTTTCTTTTAAAATATTCAGTACATCATAATAGTATTTTTTATCTTCCGGAAACACTTTGAAGTCGGATTTAATAGCTAAATATGGACATGTAATAGATCTAGCCATATCTTTTAATTGATCATGTGTCATACCACTGTAAGATGGAAGAATTCTTAATCTAGGATCTCTATTTAAATATACTGTTCCATCAGGATTTTCTGTGACTCCTCTAGTCATTAATATTTTACAGGAATCTTCGGTTATTGATTCCATACTATCTTTAATCCATCTTTTCATAAGTTCTTCTCTTTTATAACTAGGTGGTTTATTTTTCATTTCTTCTATTTTACAAATTTGTGTGAAGGCTTCTGCTATACGAGCATTATATTCTTCAATAGTTACAGGAAGAGGCTTTAAATGATCGATAGCTATCACGTAAGCTACATCTTTTGGATATATTGAAGCATACCAAAAGCAGTAATGACTGCTTAAAGAATGTGTTAACAATTTTAGTTTCTCCCAAGCAAAATATCTTTTCAATCTATGTATTAACAATACATAATTATATTCAAAGTACATTTGACCCGGAGGTAACCAAGAGGATAAACCATGACCGGGCAAATCAATGGCTAGTATTGGTCCATGTTTTTGAAGCAGTGGTGCTAGATTATCAAATGAAGCAGCATTATCTTGCCATCCGTGAAGAGCCAAAATAGGTTGCTTACTCTTATCAATTCCCCATAGTCTTCCTTTTAATAAAAAAAAATATATATATATATAGGGTGGATTATATAAATAAAACATCTAAATATCTTCTTTATTTACAATTGTATTAAAAAACTTCAAAAAAGTAAAAATTACACTATTGCAGGGGGAGAAATTTAATGGTCGAAAAAATTGTTTCTTATGGTTATTTTTGGAAAATAAACTTTGGTTATTTAAATGGGACTATATATATATTTTTTGCAATATTCTTGTAGAACATGAAAAAACAAAAATTATCTTCATGATCATGTATATATATATTATATTTATATTTTTCTATCACGTGTGTTTGTTCATATATTTAATTTATTATAAAGTACTTACCAGCTATTTTACCCCAGGGTACTAGTATCTCAACGTTACTAACATTCTCATTTACAACTTCCACTTTACTATAGATAGTTCTTTTTAATAAAGTATACAGGTTATCTGTATTATTTTTATAAATCTTATAAAATTTAAATGTTGTTTTCCAACAACCAAAAATTCGGCAATCCATCTGAAAAAAGTATTATATCAATTTGTGAAGATTACAGCAATAAAAAAGATTTTATCTTTTACTTATCTCCAATTTTCATATTATCTTTTTTAAAAATTTATTATTTTTTAGTTACTTCAATATGACGAAATACTTCTAATAAGTACTTTATATATTTATGAAAATATTATTATTTTTACTTTATAAAAACAAAAAATGATATCAAAATTGTTTATAAAAATTATGCTTTGAAATATCATAACTTTCAGTTTCACATTCGTAGAAATTTTATCTTCTTACCACTAATACACTAAATAACTGAATTGAGATTGTAATCTAGTAATATTAAAAAAAAAAACTATGGTACATCGTTCAAAATAATAAAGTCTTATTTACTTTGCCACGTCTTTATATATTTTAAAAGAAATAATAGAATTTCATTCCATATAGAATAAAATTTACATAGTTTTAAATAACTACTAGTTTTTTGAATTGCTAAATATGTAACAAGATTATCTTTTAGTTTAAGACACGTGACTATTTATTAACATAAATAAGAAAAATGTGCAAATAAGAAAATAGTTATTATTATACGTTATTTCTTTTTATTCAAGTAATATATTAATCAAATATTAAATATTAAAGTTTTAATCAAATATTAAAGTTTTTTTTACCTTTGATATTACTTTTAGTAATAGATATATTTAGTAATATATCATATTATTTATCAATTAATCAAAATATCTAACAATCAGAAATTATTTATTTGACTCATTTTCTGATTATTTAAATACAGATGATAAAATATAAAGAGATGAAATATAAAATATAAAGATAAAATATAAAGAGCTTATCCAATAGAAGGGACAAATCTGTACTAATTAAATTATTTTTATTAAATCATAGGTCTTCATAAGAACTATTGAAATGTGGAAAATATTGTTATTTTTCTTTCTTTTAATAATTTTAATTTTGTCTAAAATAAATATAACAGTTATTAAAATATTTTTAATAGAGTGAAAATTAATCATTAGTTACTAAAATATTCATACACATTGTAATTACACATATGCAGTTTTGTAATGTTTTGATTGATTTTATGCAATAAATGGAATTGCAATTTGTGGGGAACAAGGTTAACGGAAAAGGTTGATCTGGAGATTTACGCGATAGTCGTCAATTAAAGTAACAAAAATATATAAATTTATTAACAAGATACAACTAAACTCTTGGACGCCATATRTAKGACTAACYYACATTWCGACCGTTACGTTCAACTTGGGTTTAGTTAGTCTAGTACCCGCATAGGGAGGAAGGGCGCCAGTGTGCCGCGTCGATACACTAGGCACGTATCGCCACAAATTTTGCCGCTGTAGCGCCATCGTGTGTTTCATTCTAGAACTATAATTGTTAAGTCGCAAAGAAAACTACGTTTTCTGATTGAGTTTTCCAGCGATATTGAGTTATTTCTTTTTATGTGGTATATCTTAGTCTAATAGTACTAGATTTGCAGTCTATGCTTATTAAATCCGTAATAGAATTCCATTTTGGCATGCATGTTTGACATACGATTAACTGTCAAATCTTGAGAACTGCGTGGTGACTTATAAAAATAATATAATATGGAAGCAGTACCAAGATTGCCGATGATTTCTTTCTATTTAAAAGTAAGCCCGGAACCAACTACATTCGGACCGAAGTTAAAACAGGTAGAATTGTTGATTATTTAAATAATACAACGGTTCTAGGCGTTTCTATCTTAATAGTCACTCATGACATTTTATTTTGATAATTTATTAAAAATTGTTATCATCATTATTATTGTCAATACTGATGATTTGTTTTAAAATGTGTATATTGATAATACCGATATTTTCAATTGTTAATCAATTAATTAAATTATTAACGATTACTTTTATAACTGTATGTGCAAACTAGAAAAAAAGTAATCAAAATTATGTTTTTATCAAATTTCAGTATATACGAGATTTTTATAATGAAGATCCTGAATCATATACAAATGAAATACATCAATTAGAAAGCTTACGAACTATGGCAGTTAGGCCTCCTCTCGATATGGCAGGCTGTTTGTTACTAAAAAAATATTATTGTCAGTTGCACTTTTTACAAAGTAGATTTCCAATGGGAAAAGATGGTGGTGCTGCTGTAACATTTACATGGTAAGAAAAATATTATCTTTTTATTTCCTTTTATAGAAATAATTAATTCAGTATCTAATGTAAGAAAATAATATTTCTTTTAATATGATTTAAATAGGAGAGATACATATGCAAATATGGTATGCTCATTGGCTAGTATACGTTTTGAAATAATATCAGTTTTATATAATATTGGCGCTATGCACACGCAATTGGGTGCACGTACTGAACGAACCACTGCCGATGGAATGAAAATGGCATGCGCACATTTCCAATGTGCAGCATGGGCTTTCGAGCATTTAAAAAACAGTTTTCCACAACCATCCGGCGTTGATTTGGCACCAGAGCTTATGACATTTATGTATCAACTTTGCTTAGCTCAAGCGCAGGAGTGTATATTAGAAAAAAGTATGCTTGATAATCGTAAACCAACTATTGTAGGTAAGAAACAATATTTATTAAGAAGAACGTTTCAATGATTAAAGAAATAGAATTAATTTATTCTGATAAAATATAATATTTTATAGCCAAAGTCGCTAGACAAATTGTAGATTATTATACATCAACATTGAGTACTTTAGAACAAGGAGGTAACGAAGATGGTACCATTTCAGAAACAGTTGGGACTAAAATTTATAAGGTATTAATATATTATTTATGTATTACATCATCATTTTGGGATTGCTCTTTGATAAAAATAATATTTCAGAGTTGGAAACGATACGTCAAATTTAAAAGAGCATATCATTTAGCAGTTACACATCTATATCAAGGTCTTGCTGCAGAAGAACAGAGGAAAATGGGAGAAAGGGTTGCTTTTTACAATGCCGCACTAGCTTCTCTTAATGAAGCACATTTGATTTATAGTTTTGCTAAGGGATCTGTAGATGTAACAGGTTCTCCTGACGAGAAAGCCGTAGTCGAGGAAGCGCTTACATTCACAAACGATGTTATTGAAGGTAAAAGGAAAGCTGCGAAAAATGAAAATGAATTCATTTACCACGAAGAAATACCAGAAAAAGAGTCACTTACTGTAATCAAGGGAGCCTCTCTGGTTAAAGGAATATCTTTTAGTATAAATGATCCAGAAGTTTCAGGACCAGATATATTTGCCAGGTTAATACCTGGATCAATGTTGATAATTTATAATTATATTACTTCTTTTTGTAATTAAAGATTTTGTATTTTAATATTTTTACAGATTAGTACCGATGAAAGTACACGAAGCAAGTTCTCTTTACTCGGAAGAAAAAGCTAAGATATTACGTAATGTCGGATCAAAGATTGAAGACAAAGATCTTCAATTGAATACTTTTCTCTCCTCGTTTAAATTAGACCACTTAGATTTATGGGATCCTGATGTTCAAGCTTCTGAATGGGAACTATTACCACTTCCCGAAGAGTTAATTGAAAGATGTGCTGCACTTAACGCAAAGAAAGAAATTATTCAAGATTTACTTGATATTATGGGAAAATTAACTGATACCAGTCAGGATGTTGAGACCGTATTAAAGGAAATAAAAAAGTTACTATTTGAAGAAGAATTAAAGTAAGTGAAATTTTTAATTACAAATTGAATTACATGATCATATAAATATTTAATGATATAATTATTACAATCATAAACAATTAATAGGGAGAAGCAATATCAAGATGCTGTTGGCAAAAGGCCACCAACTATTGTAGCAACTGACTTAACAAGAGAATGCAAAAAATATGAAGAAGCTCATAACAAAGCATTAGAAAGTAATCAAGCACTTCATAAAGCAATAACAATGCATGTCAAAAATCTCAGAATGCTTGCCCAACCATTACCAGATTTAATTGCTAATGTACCTTCATTAAGTACGCATTTATCAGGTAATTATTAAATATAAATACAAATATTGTTTGTCAATAAAGTAATGTATAATAATATTTATTTTTAAAATTTATAAATTTCTTTTTTTATAGATCAAAGTAGCGATACAACTCAGAGTATAAAAATCGCAGATAAATTGCACGTTCAGGAATTGAAACGTATTTTAAATAAAGTAGACGAAATGCGAAGACAAAGAAGTGATCTACATTCTAAATTGAGAGATTCGATTGCGCAGGATGATTTAACGCGTTTATTAGTTACAGCTACTTCTGAATCAGGTTCTCTCGATCGTCTTTTTTCAGAACAACTTAGTAAACATCAATCATTAGTTAGTATCCATGTAGATAAGTATATTTATAATATTGTAAAAAAATGTAAAAGATATAAAAGATATAAATATATAATGCTATAATTTTAGGTAAGTCTTATAGAACAAAATCTTTCTGCACAAGAGAATATTATGGCAGCTTTAACAGAAGCGTACGCTCAAACTGGAGATATAAGAAAAATAGTGGAGGATGTATTGAAGCGGAGAGAATTTATGATTTCTTCACTAATTGCATCGTACGATGCTTATGAAGATTTGTTAATAAAAGCTAACAAAGGTCTCGAATTTTATAGAAAATTAGAAATAAATGTATCTAAATTGCTGCAAAGAGTTAAAAGTACGTGCAAAGTTCAAGAGGAAGAACGAGAACAAATACTTGCACAAGACAATAAGAATGTATATAATAAGACTGAAACTTCAACATTGACAAATTATGAGCATGGTCAAACACGAAATACTAGTGGTTTAAAACTTAAAGATTATCTGAACAATAGAATGGATAGTATTTCTACTCTTTCAAATCAGTATTACAATCCTCATAAAGGAATTGCAGGCCCATCACAAATGGATATACTTCCTACAACAAAGTCGTATTTAAATAATACAGTTGATACTCACAGTCAACCTATAAGTACAGTGCCTGTGCAAGAAATGCAAGCATCTAATATGAAATTAACGCAGCAGTATCATCCTTCTATGTATGTAGATCCAAGAACAGCTTCTCATTATGCATATAAATCTCGCACTTCTACCGAAAATCAGGACATGAACACAACTATAAATCAGAGTTATGTAGCTTCTAAGAAAGATGAAACAGCAAAAATGTATCATCAAATAAGTACGACCACAGATGTGACAAGTAACCTACCATATTCTACAACTTATCTACCAAACGAACAAGGATATTGTACACAACTTCCAGATGTACAAAATAAGTTTCCTTCTACTTCTATGCAACATTATAGTCAGAATAATACAATGCATTACAATACTTATCCAATTTCTGTAGAGCATGGTGAAGCTATAACATCACAGGATCCCAATTTAATTAACCGTTATGGGCCTAATCAGGATAAAGCTAATATGATGGTTCCATCAGAAGGTACTATAGTGTCACAAATGCAATCAGTGTCACTTACAGGACATCCTGTATCTAGTACAGCAATTAGTAGTACAAGGACACTTAATCAGTCACCAATGTCTCAAAACATTGTACATCCTGAACAACAATATGTACCAAAGGATGAAACTAAATCTGTTACTAGTTCAGAACCAAGTCATACTATGTACAGACAGAATCAGAATATAATATCTGCCCAAAGTAATACAGCTATACAAAATTACGCGTATTCACATGTTAATCAAAATAACATGTCATATGTTCAGAATTATTCTACCGTTGGATATAATCAACAAACCCCCAGTCATAATACAACTGATTATGTGGCATCTATGCCATATGTACAAGTACAGCAATCAAATACTGCTGTACCATCTACACAGCCTCCTACATCGGTAACACCAGCATCAAATATAAATGAAGTTTCTGTTTCGTATTCATCAGATTTACAAAATCCTGCTGCAGTTCAATACAATCAGCAAAATTATACGAATCAGCAAATGCCACTTAATTATTCAAATAATTATCAGAATTTATATCATGTTACTACTGGATTATCATATCCACAAAATCAGACAGTATCTACGATGTCAAACAATTATCCTTATATGAATTACACTTCTTCTTCGGAATTAATTCAAAGTCATACAAAAGCAACAACCGTACAGAGTTATTCACAACCATATGATTATTCGCATCAAGTACATTATACAGATTATTCGCAGAATCCAAATTATGCACAACACTATAATCAGGGTTATTCTTACATGCATGCTAGCCATGCCGTTAATGCAGCTTCTATATCGTATCAAACGGAATGTAAGTATTTTACATCGAATTTATTTATTTTTTATATTAAAATTATACTCTTAAATATATTACAGCACTTAAAAATGTTTATCAAGCTCAAGAAAGTAACGCCCGGTACACCAATGCAAGTAATAACACTATGACTCAGACTCCTTCCTCTCAATATTCAAATCAGGATTATCCATCAGAACTTCCGAATGACATATATTACACAACTCCTTATGGTTTACAAATGCAAGGTCAAGGTAAATATTGATTATCTCAAATTATATAAATGTATTTACATCTAATTTTTCAATCATTTATAGGAGGAACTTCAACCAGAGTAGAAAACAATTACAATCAGACATACATGCAAGCAGTTAATAATGGAACAAGCACAACTACAAGTTCAAATCCCGTCAAACCTACAACCAAATCGGAGGAACAAAAATCTAATGTAGATCTATTATCCGATCTTGATATTACAATAAATCATGCACCGCTCGTACCTGAGGTACGACCTCTTAATAAAGCGCAAGATGAAAACGATGACGTTACTTCTATTAAAAGTACAGATAAAAAAGAAGAAAAGGAGGATGAACCAAAACAAGAAGTCACACATATTCCTGAAAAAACGTCCACTTATATGGAAAATAAAGAAGATTACGAAAGTCTACAGATTGTTTGGGATACGTGGTACACCGATGTGCAACCAAAGAAAGATCCGTTAGGAAATCCTGAAACAATGCAAAAATTTATTAATGAAGTAGAGAAATACGAGAAATTTGTAGATAGTTTACTAGTAAAGACTCTTAGCGGAGCAACAAATCTTGATATCAAGTGGAAAGAAGTTCAAGACTTTGAAGTAATTTATAAAACAATTTAGAAAACATTTCTTTTATTTATAAATCTTTTCCATATAAATTTTAATTCATTCATTTTAGGAACGTGAAAGTGCAAAACAGTCGTGCACAATTGCATTGGCTAATTCCTTAGATAATCGTGTTACTGATTGTATTCCTTATGATATCACACGAGTACAAATATCATCTCCAGATGTATCGTCATCATACATAAATGCATCACATGTAGTAGAAATAACACAATGGACACCAACAGCATTTATTATTACTCAAGCACCATTGCCTGATAAAATCCATGTATTTTGGACAATGATTTGGGAACAAGAATGTGAAGTAATAGCATGTTTAGCGTCAGATGCCCAGGTATATTTTGATAAATAATATAAAAATAAATAATTATCTATAGAAGTAATAATCAACGTATATCTCTTTTTAGTTGAAACAGGAATTATATTGGTCTGTCGACACAGATAATGATTTTACTATTGGTAATTTCGTAATTAAGACGCAAAAAACGGTGACTCATACTTTTTATATTCAAAGAGTTTTATCTTTGTGCAATACCAAAACAAAATCTGAAAAAATAGTAGTACACATGCAGTTTCTTGTATGGCCTTCCAAGTAAATTAAAAAAACATCTACATTCATTGGTTTATAATAAGAATTTATTATTAAATTTTCAATCTATTTTTTTTAGTGGTTTTCCTAGTAGTCCTGGTGCTTTGCTAACATTTGCAACTGATGTGATGACAGAGCAAGCACTAAGACGTTGTTCTCCAAAGCCAATTGTGGTACACTGTATCAGTGGTGGGTCATTAAGTGGCTTGTTCTTAGTAGCAGCTTCGACCGTATGCCATATACGTGCTGGTCGTGGAATAGCTGACGTACCACTTGTATTTAAAGGTCTTGTCAAATGTCGCAAGCAAGTAGTGAACAAGGAATCATTGCTGTTCGCGTATCGAATGGTACTTTATCATGCACAGGATATATTAATGAAACGTAAGTTCTAAATCTGCATGAATTTCAAATATCAAATATATCTGACATCAGAAAAGTATAGACAATATATAACAATAATTATTATAATATTTTGTCAAATTATAATACTGACCAATGTTTATTTGAGTTAATTCTCAAATAATGATTTTCGTCAGATTTTATGTTTTTTTATTTATGCCAGAGCATGGATATATGACAGGTCAGCGCAGCATAATTACATGAATTTTGTTCTATTTACATATTTGCACATGCACATATGTAAACGTGTATATTTTTATATCATATTATTTTGACTACATTTTAATATAAATTAATATATTTTTCTTTTTTTTCTTTTTTGTAATACAGGAGGAATTTTATCTTCTACGCGATCTACATTCGAAGGATTTGAAAGTCTTAAATTAAATAAAGAAAAATCCATTAGAAAAACCCATCCTTCAGATGATTTTTTACATAATCTTAGTGTTGGTGGACATTCCGAAACCAAACAAAGAGGTTTGTATTTTTACTTATTGTTAGATAAATTTAATTTCTCTCTTTAAAAGTTCACTAGAAGGTTCATTGTGCTTATGAATGTATTTTTATAAATATTATTACAGCTGATGCACAAGTAGCATCAACGCATAGCAACACTATTCAATCAATTGCAACAGATAAAACGAACGAAGCATTTATAGATCCTTTAAGCCAATTGGATCCATTGTGGTCTATTAGAAGATAACGTATGAAATTTTAAAATTTTTTATTTCTCAAGACGAGATTATGCTAAAATAATTACTTTACCATGTTTATTATAAATAATGGAAAACAACATGTTAATCCTAGACATTTTGTTTCGATACTGTGATCATAAGAAACAGTTAAAAATAATTGTATAACGAAATCAACATACCTGAAATAAAAGACATTTATTGTTCAAATATTTCTTTATCATACATAATCTGAAAAATATACAAAGTACAAATCGATAATTAAACTATATTATTTTGTGTTTGTATGTATGTGTTTTTCATATTTTATATAAACATTATACATAATAAATGAATAAGCAGTAAAATTTTATATATTCAATGATGAAATTTGTACAAATGCTAGAAAGAGATGTAAGATCTCTATTACACGATACATTTCACTCTTGCGCAATAGGAAGTTTCTTTAAAAAAAATGATTATTATTATTTAACAATTAGCAGAAGATAAAAAAATATTTTCGCAACTGCACGATATAAACATGTTATTTATAAGTCAAAAAACTTAGTTCTTCGATCTAAAGTACATGTAAATACCCATAAAAATTTGTTGAAGCACTTTCCCGCGAATATTATTTTATAACAAAAATTCAGTTATATGAAGATATTAAATATATGCTTACTGTTTGATATCACTGATAACAGAAAAACCCTCATGAGCGAATAGAATAATAATAAGTAAAATTTGCATTATTTTTACTGTCTTTTATAGAACTACAACTTATACTTAACTTATACAATCAACCTCCTCTGTTCCATAAATCTTTTACTTTGTAAATTCTTACTAGCCAATGTTCCGTTGTATATGCTTCTTCTAACGTTTCTAATTCAAAATCTTTATTTCCTATTTCCATATTTCTGACTCTATCATAACCCGAAGGCTTACCTGTTTAAACAAAATATATATATATACATAAAATATAAAATTTAAGTATATAGTAGAAACTCCATGCGTAAATGGATAAATTAACAATATATGTATATATTATATTTTACCTCCTTCTGTAAAAACTTGTCCAAATCTATAATAACACATTTTATACATGAGGCAATTAAGTAAAACGGGAGAACCTTCCCTATCAACTCTAAACTCTCCAGCGTTATTATAATAATCCCATTCTGTTATAGACTTTCCTTTTTCTGTACTACCGCCAATACGAACCATCCATAGGAACTTATTAATGTCTATAAAAAAAATGATATAATACATAATAAGTTACAAAAAAAAAATAATTTAAAATACCAATTCTATTCATTCAATGAATTTAATAAATACCATCTGATGAGTAACCCGTTAATCCTCCAAAGATCACAAGAACATAATTTACATCTAGTTCTCTCATTATCTCGTATGCTTTTTCTTCTGAACTTGCCATTGCCTGACCGACTCTTGATATATGCGTATTATTCCACGTATTATTGTCTACTAAAATAGTACGATTGGCCATAGCAGTTATCTGATATCCATAATCCCACCACGACATTACTTTGGCATTCTATATAAAATATAACCTTATTAAACTTAATGTTATTTTATATCAAAAAACACGAGCTTTAAACATAATTACTTTATGTTGATATTAAATTATTCTATTTTTTAACAAACTTACAGAATATATTTTATTTGATAACTGACTATGTTTTTCAAGAGCATACCTCAGGAGTATTCATGCGTAACCAATAGTATGCTTCTCTAAAATCATCAAAAATCATACGACCACCATCTGGGGAACGTGCAGACAATACAATACTTGGAGAGCTATAAGCTTCTGCTGTAACCCAAGTGCAATGAATGGTATACGAGAAAAACAGTATACACATTATTACCACAAAAACAGTTGCAATCTGTAAAGAAAAATTGTTTCGTTAACAAATATTGAATATATTCTTCTAAGAATAATACCAATATACTACTTAATCATATAAATATACCTCACTCCTTAGTACATAGTTACTTTCAAACTTCTTAGCTCTTTTATCAACAACTTTTCCACTGTCGATTTGTTTCATATAAGTAAGTAGCAATGAAGATGCACCTATTCCACCCAAAATACACATAACTGGAGCGAGTACCAACATCAAACGTACCATCACACCCTATTATTTAACATGTTAATGTAGACAATTGTTTATCAAAGTTGATTAAAATTTGATTAAAATATACTTATTTATACTCACAGCAAAATACAAGCTAGTAATGCCATACAAAACAAGGAAAATATTGGAGTCTGTTAATTTAGAGAAACAGAAGTATAAACCTGATGGAAATAAAAATACTAATATTTGAAGATCGAAATAAAATGAGCTCCAAGCTGTAGGTTGATGTTCAGAAACAGATGCAATTATTGGTATGTGATTCTTTGCATAAGATGGATCCAAAAGAGAATAGAAACGACCAGTCCATGGAGATATTTTTCCTTTAACAAAAAGAATCACAAATTGATTCATCATCTTATTATTTCTATCTTAAAAATACTCTGATAGATTATAATACCTGTAATCGTTAAAACGCCCCCGATTATGGAAGATGCGGCAATTGTAAAAATAAGAAGACCTCGAAATAGCATTTCAAAATCATCTTGTGATAATTTACTACGTAAATAATCGACTAACGCATGAATCTGACACAATCCAAAAACTCCTAATGCCTATAAGACAATATTTATATGATTAGATTATACGAAGGATAAATAATGAATAAATAATAAGTTATAATAACACTCTGAATACTTACTAACATATGTTCGGAACTTTGTACAGGTTGAAAACCAACAAAAGATATTTGCATAGACAAAATAGTACCAAGACAATATAAAATGCTATAAGCAGTGTATATCCTATGCGAAAATCTACCAGTGACCATGAGAGTCAATACATGTAATGGAATTAAATTAATTAGAAAAACATAACCACCCCATGAAGATACCATATAAAAATATGCAAGCGCAGCACATGTTGACCAACAAATAGCTCCAGTTTTGACTGCTTTTATCCACATATAATATGTGAATAACATACAAAAAATAGCTATGCCTTCATTATCGTATGATCCTGCTACAGATCGAGATATATAGCCTGGTACAATAGCGATCATAGCTGCAGCAAATAATCCAGATGCAGAATCCTTAAAAACATATTATTGACACATTCATATATTTATAATTTATCTTTTAACATGAAAATGTATGTAACATGAAATATTTTTATTCGTGAATTACCTTCAATTCTTTAGTTAACAAATAAGTGATAACTGTAGTAAAACTTGAAAATAGAGGTGCTAGAAATACACATATATTGCGTATATCTAATGTGATATTTAGTAGCCATGATAAATGATAAAGAGCTGCTGAAGTTATCATTAAACCAGGATATATTGTTCCTGTAAACAGAATTATAAAAATAAACGTATATATTAATAAATTAGTAACACGAAAAAATAAATGAAAGATAAAATATTATGATATAATAATTTTACCTCCGATAATTCTTCCTAATGGATACCATACACGATCATCAAACCAATTGTGAAAACTATAGAATCCATTTTCCGCTAGATATTTAGTTGTTCGATAATTAAAATATGGATCAAATTCATGAATAACGCTTTCAAATCTTAACACCGAGAATAAACGTGTAGCAAAAGCTATAAGAATATTAAACAAAACATAATACATGTCATTTTTATTAGTGCAATTGAAAGATATCTTAGATTTAATTACAAAATATAAATACACTTACATAAAACTGCAGCGAAAGAAAGTATGGTCAACTTTAACAATGTTTCTTGTTTTTGTGCCGACATACGCAGCCCTCTCGCTTTGATTAAAGATACCATTGTTTTAAATTTTAATTTTTATTCTTAAGTTAAAATTTAATATATAATTATTCTTTAAAGATTACAAAAGTTCATTGTGTTGGATTCTCTTTGCTGCAAATAAAATAATAATGTCAGTTATACAGGTTAGATTGACTAATAATAATTAAATCTAAATAAATAAGACTATATTGAATATTTATTAATTAAAATTTTAACATTATGTACATATAGACATGTTCATTGACCTTTCCTATAGTTATACATATTAATTGACAGGAGGTTATAATAGATAAAGAATAATTTTTGACAGGAAGATAAATAATTGCATATAATAAGTTAATTTAATTGATTATCAATTTTAACAACAATCACATGTTCATTTAAATTCTTATTTAAATTAAAATCTTATTATTCAATACAAAAGTGTCCACGTACACAAAATTACCGGCCGGCGATATACGTGTGTCAAATATTTTCATAAACTTGATAGACTTTTAATTGATTATAATATTATCGAGGATATCATATAAATGACAACATCAACTTACGATTGATAAGTATCAATGAAATATTGGAAACATTTAATTAACAGAAAATCTGTCTCAGTTCGAAAGGAAAAGTATTAAGAACGATCTGCAATGTTTCTGACCACTGTCTTAAATGTAACGGAAATTACAATCTAGATGATCTACCCTATGATCTTCTGATGATGACATAGTTTCTTTCTAGGAACATAATAATATAATCTATTTTATATTATCTTTTAAATTTTTTATTCTACTATTATAACAAAATTATATATTTTAATATTTAAAATAATAAAATTTATTTTATCACATTTAAAAAATAATTTTAATGTAAATGTAAGAAAGAACACTAAAAGTAAATTTGAAATTTAAATAAGATCTTTAAATATATATTATTTTTAATTAATATATTATTAATTAAACTGTAGATAAATTTTTTGAAAAGTAATGAAAGTCTAATAAATTGTATGAAAATATTAGATAGTTTGTTGATCATACATAAAGGAAATGAATATAATATGAATAGAACCTTTTAAATTTCTATGATGTTACATGTGTACAACATATATAGATTAATTGATTTGTTTATTTTAAATGCAACTATTTTTTATTTTTCTAATTATTATTTATTATTTTTATCGATGCATTTGTATATATTATGATGAAAAATAACCTAAAGTAAAGTACACATATATATGTTTAACTGTGAGATATGCTTTAGGCAGTGATCCCAGAGACTTTAGTTCGTCTGATCGATACATGGCCGTAAAATTATCGTACACACAAAAATTTTGAATTTGTAGAATTTGTCGGATTGGATTTTCAAAATCTAAAAAAAGAGTACAAGTTCCAACTTTTTCAAAGTTGATGACCTCTTTTTTTTTNTTTTTTTTTTTTTTTTTTAGTCTTTAAGTTCAAACAAGCTGTCGTAGGTACAGCGTACAGATCGTACGGTGGTGGTCATTTCTTCTCGGGATATGAAAAATAAAAAAATCCTAAGTTGAACCCCTTGATTTGACAGTCATACAGATTTGACAGTCAAGTTGACCCGTGTCAATTTGACTCCAAATTGGACAGTCATATTTACCGTAAAATCAAGGCTTCAAATTATGTGACGCGTACGATAATTATCGTACGAATGTGATCACTGGCTTTAGGGAATTATTTGGTTTAGTGTAAAAGAAAAAAGCGTAGTGCGTGGTGACTATATGCATTTGATTACGTCATACAGTTGCAATCTTTATCAGTGTTTCTCAAATTTTGATCTGCGAACCATTAATGGTCCACATAAAATTTGGATGGTTTTCAAAAAGTATAACTCAATTTTGAATTAATATTAAAAACTTAATTCAATTTCAGCTCGAAGGATTTCATTATCTTACTTTTGGGTATTTCGGAGATAATTTTTATATTTTTGCATATATTTATAATGTCTTGTATTTTCAAACTTATTTTTCACTGGAACAAAGCCCTATATGAAGAAATTCTATTCTTTAGTTCTTTATGTACAATTGCTCCCTGCTCGTTTGTACCACTAGTTGTAGGACACCCTGTATAAGTATACTTAAAATTTGTAAGCGCATTTAATCAAATGAGAAACACTGGGCTAGTGACGTACGTGACGATGCGTTTTGGACTGATGGACAATAGAAAGATCGGAACGTTTACTCATCACTGAACTCTTAAGCATAAAGTTAGGTTTTTTGTATCTTTTCTGAATCATTTCTGTTGTTGTTGTGAAAATTCATGTGACATATGAATTTTCATGTTCATATTAAAATTATTCGTTAATGATATTATCAATGAACGGGATCGCAACTTTTTATATATGTATATATATATATATCTATCTATAGTATTACATATGTAATTGAATTTGTAGAAAATATAAACAAGCGGGGTGAACATTTTGAATAAATGCGTTAGACGACGCCATATCCTATTGTCGACTGATATACGCAGTAACGTATTTAAGTTGCACTGGCTGAGTAAATAGATGCTATTGATATTTTTATTTTCTATTATTTAACATTTCTATTTATATTTATTTAATACTTGTAGTGAATTTAAAAAAAAAAGATATATTCAATTACTTATTCCAATAAATTGTGATATACTTAATTGATACGTTTGTGGTGCTGAAAACTTTCATTAAACATTATGAATACAACATGGGGAAGAAATGAAACCAGTGATATAAGTCCTGCGATTATGAAAAGTCTGGACAGTTTATCTCTCTGTAATACTAATAATTATCTAGTTACTGTTAATTCAAATACTGAAATGGAAGGATTATCAGTTAAGAATAAACCCAATAATATAGAAAGCTTTTTATTAATAGATAAATATGAAAAATTAAAAGTTTCTAGTGCTGAACAATTTATTAGAAAATTAAATTGCATCGGTAAAGATAGAAAAGTTAAAGTTGTATCCATTTTTGGAAATACGGGTGATGGGAAAAGTCACACGTTAAATCAGACTTTCTTCAAAGGACGTGAAGTTTTTAAAACTTCAAATGATCAAACTTCTTGTACATCCGGTATTTGGGCAGCATTTGATCCAAATCTCAATGTAATATGTCTGGATACTGAAGGTCTATTAGGTAATATTATTTTCGTTTTTAAAATAATTTTACTTTATTTATTTATTTATCTGTTAAATTAATAAATTCTTGTAAGGATACTGTGTTCATAAAAATATTTTCTTATTTTGTTTTCTCAAGCAGGTGTCACTGTTTGCGAGAGTGGAAAAATTAGGCTTCTGCTTAAAGTTTTGGCCATATCTGACATAGTTATATATCGAACACGCTCGGAAAAATTGAATAAGGATTTATTTTTGTTTTTGTCATCTGCTTCCCAAGCGTATAGTCATTATTTTCGAACAGCCTTACAAGCAATGGGAAAACGAACAGGAATGTCAAGTTCATTAGCCTCACTTGGACCTTGCGTAATTGTTCTACAGGAGACCAGACACACCAAACCTCTGAGCAACAGTACATATAATCTCTCAGAATGACAGTAATTTCAAAGAAGAATTTTTGATTAGAACATATGATATATTGCTAGAAAAATCTTATAAATCTTTGTGTTTCAGATGGTTCTGAAACTGCAGAAGATATGTTGAGGACTCGATTTGATCAAATGGGACTTGAGATAGAATTCTTTAGTAAACTGAAATATGTTGGACTTCAAACATTAAACTCTTCTACCAATTATGAGCCTTTACGCATCGTTATAAATAATGAACTTGAAAATACATCAGTACGATTTGCAAGACATCCACAACTCGTATATAGTACTTTAAAACACTTAAATGATAAATTTTCTGCTGAAAATACGAATTTATCTAATATTATATTCCCAGATCAATATTTTAGTTGTCCAGTAAAATGTCTCAGTTGTGGTTGTAAATGTAGTAATAGTATGGGTCATCTTAGAGATGGAAAGCCTCACAGTAATACCAATACTAGGTAACAATTATTTCTCATTGAATTAATACATTTATGAACATACTATAATTGTAATAACTACTTTCATAAATAGAGCTATTCTATTTGCACAGGTGCCGGTTTCAAAATCAGTATGAAAATTTAATATACATATGTAAGAGATGTTATACCAACGGAAAAGAAGTTAAAGTAACAACGCGGTTACAAACTCACAATGATAAAAGTTGGTATGGCTTAGCTGTATACGCATGGTACGGATCCATAATAGAATGTCCTCACTGTGGCGAAATTTATAGAAGTCGACAGTATTGGTATGGAAATAAGGGTCCAGAAGAAGTTGCTGTCTGTACTGAAATTACTCATGTCTGGTATATGGTATGTTAAATCAATCATAGTTGCAGAAACTTTGTTAAATAAACTAATAATAACTGCTTAGAATATGGTTGTCATGATTATAATTTTGTTTCAGCCATCAGCTTCTAATATACCTCAAAATACAGCTCAACGTATGGTTGATGGCGTATCTTATATAACAGAAGCAGTTACCAATGTTTCTTTACAGCCTACTAAAGCAATATCTGCTTGGGTAACAGATCAAATAGCACCTTCGTATTGGCGTCCTAATAATGAAATTAAATGGTGCTTTCAATGTAAGACAACATTTGGCGTAACAGATACAAAGCATCATTGTCGTGCTTGCGGAGAAGGTTTCTGTGCACAGTGTTCCTCTCAAACAAAATGTGTACCCTCCAGAAACTGGTATACACCTGTACGTGTCTGTGATACATGTTATATGAAAGATACCAATAATTATGAAGCTGCTCAAACTGTAGATGATGTAAATGCTAGAAAAGTGACAGAACAAGTAGTATCTACCTTAAGTGCAGTCGGAACAGTTCTAAATTATTCCAAAAGTATGTAACTTAAATTTTCTTTAAAAATATATTAAATTGTATATGAAAATCTTTAATTTTTCATATAATATTTTTTACTTATACAGCTTTTATAAAAGACACTGTTAGACCGTCCTATTGGGTACCTGACTCAGAAATTACTGGATGTTGTATCTGTAACCAGAAATTTTCTCTTACACTTTCTTTACATCACTGTAGAGATTGTGGACGTGGTGTATGTGAAGAATGTTCGCCACATCGTAAACCAGTAACTCACAGAGGATGGGATAAACCTGTGCGTGTATGCAATGCCTGTATTAAAATTGATTAAGTTTACTCATCTTTTCATAGACATAAAGTACAAAAAAACTAGTTTAGAAAATGTATCCAGTAAAACTGGATAAATTAATTACCTGTTTTCTTTTTTAATTAATTCGAATGCTTTTATATAATTTTTAGAACTAAGTAGCAATTGTACGTATTATTTCGTATAATTTTGAAATTTTGCATTCTTATATGAATTACATTCTATTTACTACCTCTCTTGTGCTCTATATATGATTATTTAGCGCAACGTTTAATATATTTTATCAAATTTTTATTAAGATATTCCCTCTATTTATACAACAAAGATATTATATTTGTAATAAGTATTCACAAATGTACAGACAGATTTTATCAAGCAGCCAAAATATGTACAGAAAGTTATATAATAGTGCTGAATATTATTGTCGCTAACATAGGATATAAAACATAAAATTTCACCTATGAACTATAGTCTCATGAAACTGGCCACATATCAGCTTCAGCTGTATTTGTATATTAAATCTTGGCTATATTTAAAATAGAAAGTTAACAAAATATATCCAAGGAATATTATCTGTAAAAATTTATGATTAAATAAATTTTATTTCATAACTGTAGAAGAAAATAAATTTCAATTAAAACGAGATAGTGATGAATAAATAAGAAATTTCCTGACCAATTGTATTTAAACATATTTATTCTTCGTATTTACGTTCTATTTTATTTGAAAAGGAAAAAATGTAATATCAACCTAAATTAAATACTAAAAGTTTTAAGACTAGAAATAGACTAGAAACGACAGCAAATTAATACAAATCTGGTTGCATTATCCTAGCTCGTTTATCTTCGTTCTTAATATGTTTCTTTAACAAATCCATAATTTCATTATCGAATTCAGGTGGTGTAGGTTTAGCACCTGTAGCCCAATAAAATATATCCCAATCATTAGATGGTAAATTAATAAGACGATCATACAATTTTAATTGAGAATCGTTAAAATTATCCAGATACTTTTTAGCAAAAGTACTGAGTAAAAGACCGTTTTCTAGCATGCCACGTTTGCGTGACTGGTAAATCAGTCTGAAAAATAAAATAGATATTTCAATTACAAAATTATTTATCTGAATTACAACAATAACAAACTGTATACAAATTAAACTTTAGGGTTAAATAATATTACCGTGCTTTTTTAAGATCAATATTTTCTCCTTCTCGTTCTACATAAGGAGGAATATTCGATTCATGACCTTCCAAATGAAATATATCTCCAAAATCTTTATAATTTATACAGCTGGCGGATATGCATCTTCTTACTGTCATAGGTCTAACCTTAATTAATAATGTAGTAAATATAATGTTATATATTAAAAATAATATACAATTATTCATAATTATATAAACATTTCATTATACATACTAAAAAAGTTATTGATTTAGTAATAATACTCATTTTGCTATTATATTTACAACAGTTTATAAAACTGCGTATTTGAGTTGATAATTGTGACCAGTGAATATGGTATAACAATGTGTAATACAATGTGTATTGTGTCCATGCATTTCTTCGCGGCTCATGGTGGGGGTATTATTTCTCCTCTGTCGCGCAGCTACCTCGGCTTCCCTCGGCTTCTTTCGGTTTTCCGACACACCGCGACACGTACATTTTGTTGTGTGCGAGGCGTGCTGGGCTCGAGAGAAGGGGTCGAAATGTTCCGCGATCTGGCTTCATTGTCTGGCTCACGGAGAATAGATACCAAGGAGTCCGAACGTAATGTTGAAAGAATGGTATCAATTTAGGGGACAAGATATTTTGCTGGTAGAGCGCGCTGCTTTTCACAGAGTACTCGTTTAAATACTTACGCGGAAAGTCTTGTTGCTATTGACAGCTCTGAAAAAAAATATTTTAAGAAACGTGGAATTAATATTATTTAAAAACTACACAAATGTAATAATCAATTATTTGTTAACATGAAATTTTTAATATTATTTTGAGGTTACTCACTTTTGATACTTTGAATAAAGCCACTTTTCCTAAATTCTCACTTGCCTTTCGGCACTAAGGCAACCATAAACGGCATAACACTTTCCCATTTTTTAATAAAAATAATTCTAAAAAAATAAATTAATATTTTATATTTAATTTACGTGTAATAATAATAATAGTATCGGTACGCTCTGAATACTTGCGCAGCCAGTGGCAAAAAAGAAAACTATGATCTGGGTTAAGAAATGACTACCACAAAAAATGTGAAAAATCCTATATCGTTCGGACTCCTGGTATCTATCCTCCGTGGCTTCACTGATTGTGACGATTGAAACGCTATCTAGTAGTGAACATCATTTAAAAAGATGTCAGATATACATCTGCGTTTACCAAATCTATTTTTTGATTAATTTATAATGATAAATTAATAAATAATATTAATGATATTGCTTAATATTTCTTAACTATAAAATTGATTAATTACAATTGAAAAAATAAATACAATTGAAAAAATATTATTTTAAATGCAGCTATTAGTTTGATATTATTGCAATGAAATGCATTTCAATATCTAAAATAAAATATAAATCAATTCACAAAAGTAATATCAATTGCATGAATTGTACTACTTAGATGTTGCTGCTTACACAATTAAAATAAATATAATTAAAGTAAAATATCTACATAGAAAATTTCATTCATCGGTATGCACCCACTGAGAATAAGTTAAAAAGTTTTGCGCCCCAACAAAAAACTTCAATTTCTTTTTTAAATAAAAGAATGAATAAAATTGCTTCTATGTTAGATTCCACATTTTTTAACCCACCACGTACATGCATATAAATTTAATTTATATATTTAGTATAACAACAATAAATTTTCCATATTTTATGTTAAATTTATTTCTAAAATTTATTTGAAAATATATTTTATTCTAAATTAATGTATCTTCGAATTTGCTAAGTCTGAATAATTATTTATTGACAAAAGATTTATTAGTTTGACAGCTGGATAAAATGATAGATTTCAAAGTTAGACAGTAGCAGACAAAAGGAAAACGTCGTTGCATGGTTAACGTGTCACAGTGTTGTGAAAGTATTTCGCAATTATCTAAATTAATTTTTATTCAATTTAAAATGTTGCGATTATTATTTTTAATTGCAACATGTATTCTTTGTTCAACACAAAATACTAATCTCGACAGAATTACCGACCAAGATCTTTTAAATTTAATAAAAACCGAAAAATATGTTATCGCACTTTTCAGTAAGTAATTTATTATTCATTTGTTATTAGTTAATTTATTACAGAAATAATTGGTTTATTGTAAACAATGTTTTATAAAAATAATTATTTTATTTTCGTTATAATTAATATTAATTATATATTTTTTTTATAAATAAATTTTCTGACATAACCAATATATTTTTGAATTTAATACATAATTAATTTATGAATCTTTTTTATAGCAAAATCAAATTGTAAAAAGTGTGACGACTTTGAAAATGAATTGCAACGTGTTCGACAAGATTTGGTTGACAGTTTAACTGCGTGGACTGTTAAAGTGACAGACAGTCAACTTTTACATCTTTATAGTCCAGAAAAGGAGCCTGTACTTGTATTTTTTAGGCATGGAAATCCTTTATTATATCATGGTAGGCATATTAATCTAAGAAACCTAAGTAATTATATTTATATAATAGTGATTATATTTATATTTGTTGATTGTCATTAATCAAATAGTTGAATGAAAAAAATTAAAACATAATGGAAGTGCTAAATTTTTATTTTCTTTCATTTTAAGGTATTGTGGATGGAGAAGAAATATTAACTGTATTTTCTAATAATAAAGAACTTACAGTAAAAACTCTCAATGATGATACTTTTGAACATTTGACTCAAGCAAGCAGCGGAGCTACGACTGGTGATTGGTTTATTATGTTGTATGTAATATATAATTAATTTTTCGTATTTTAACATTTTAATTTTATAATTGATGGATGTATCATTTCGATTATCATAGTTATTCTACTGATGATGTAAATTCATTAAGAATGGGTGCGAGATGGGAAACGGTTGGTGCAAAACTGAAGCATAGCATTAATGTTGCACGCATAGATAAATACACTGGTGGTACTGCCACAGCAAAAAGATTCAATGTTATTAATGTTCCTGAATTTATTTTGTAAGTGTATGCAAACTGTTTTAATTGATCTATCAAATCTAATCAATTATTTATTACCATTAATTTTCTATTTTCAGCTTCAGACATGGTAAAATGTATCGTTATCAAATTCCAAAGTATGATGTTAATTCATTAGTCGCATTTGCAAAGGATTGGTATAAAAATGCTCATGCAGAAAAGGTTCCAGTTCCACAGACTCCTTTGTAAGTTTAATAATAAAAACAGATTCTTTTTAATAAATTTAATATAACTTTATTCAAATTAGTGTTGTGTGAGCATAAAATTTATTATTGTATATATTTGTTATTTTAGTGACGATATGACGCAAAAGATAGCAGATTTTCTTCATGAAAATCCATGGATTATGAAAATAGGCAGTATTACTATTGGTGTATTAGTTGTTGTTTCTGTAGCTTCCAAGATTAAATATAAAACAGACGTGCCACGGCAGAAGGAACAATAAAAACTATCACTTTAACTGTTTATTAATGGGTGTATATATATATGCTACGAGTAAAATATGGAAAAAAATACTCTATAAAAAATGACTAGATAATTTATTATATCTAGAAATAATAAAAGTGTTGAGATAGTAACTTTTCTTTTTAAAATAAAATATAATAGCTTATATATATGCTTGATATATACGAGTTTCTAAATCTTATAAATGTTTACCATAATGCAAATGTATGGTTTAATGATAAGAGAAAAATATACAATAATATTTAAATAATATTAAAAAATTATCCACAATATATAATGAATATTAAAGATTTGAAATAAATGTAATTTTTTAAGTTTATCTATAGCCACAATCTACTTGATGGCTAGCTGACATTAAGGTAAATTATAAATTTTAATTATTATCATGTTTCTCCTTTTTCTTTTCTAGATTTTCTCAATAAATATTCCTGTACATATATTTCTTTGTATAATTATTATAATTATAGCTAAAAATATGAATACCAAAATTTTTAATTACCAATTAGTATAAGAAGTGTTAAAATTATTTTCAAAATTAGTGTAAAAATTATTTTCTTTAAATTTAGTCAATTACAGGTTACATTGAAGTATTTGTACATTGTATTTTGTAAAATCATTCTCTTCCTTAAAATAAGTTACAGCAGCAACCATAAACAGGTTAATGTAATCTTAATTATCAAAGGTTTGAATGTATTGTCTTGTATACGTAACAATAAGGAATGGCTTGTGCATACTATCATTGATAACATAGTTATTTTTCAAATATCTATAAACATGAAGCGTAGCTTTTAAGATTTGTGCTAAATATTATCAACCGATACATTTATCCTTAATGTAGCCGATGAATTAGCTAACGCCATTCTAATGCTGTTTTCAAATTTTTCCTGTATAGAGGAAAATTCCATCATATTGCTCGGTTTAGATTCAATCCAAAATCCATCGAACTCGTAGAAGAGATAACAATAAAACTGATGAAAAGCACGCATAGTTGGTAATGTCTTTGATGAATTATAGATATGTGTTTTAGCAGTACCATCTTTCAATAATTTTAATGCCATACTGGTAAGATTTATACCTACAATAGCAAATGCATAACCATAATGTGGATGAGTAGAATGAGATAAAACATGAGTTGCTGCACTAGGATATTCTTGAGCAAAATATACGAGATTCTCTAATCCCAATATTCCCATTCCACGAAAGTCTGTTTTAGGATCATCTCCCTGAAAACCAATATTCTGCCATTGTTTAGTTACTCTAGCATCCAAAGAATCATAAGGCATAAGTAGATTCCATAATTTTAATAACAATAATTCATGTGCTGGATTATCAGCGTCGTAAGGCGTTTTTCGAAGTTCTTCACATTCCACGCATAATTGACGATAACCCCAAATTAATTCGATGCATTTGCCAAATGATTTGGCAAAATCAGGATGCGCTGTTGGGTTAACATTTTTCGCTACCAATACTGTTCTAATTGCCTCTTCTAAAATTTCACGTTCACTTTTAATAGTTATACCACGCTGATTAGCAATGTCATTTAAATAAGTTATCAAACTCTTGATATTAGCATTCTTTGATTGATGTAGAGATTCTTCAACCGCAAGCGTTCTAGGAGCTCCAGAAGGTTGTCCATAACAAATTCTTTGAAGCTCACACATTTGTGTCGTTTGTCTTAAAAACCATTTGATAAATGGTCGAAAATACCAATATATCACTGACAATATATACTGGAGAAACATGTTTCACATAGTTTGTCAATAACATTCAAAGATAAAGTTTATATATTAATATCAATTATTTTTAACATGTATTAAATATTTATAAAATTCCACAAAACATGTTAATTTATTATTAATCTTTTCATTCAATTTTCATTTATCAACAATAATTGAATTAATACATAACCTCTAAATTGAAGAAGTTAGTAATACAAATTACTTTTCATCCATATTATCCAACGCTTGTTATTCCCACTCTTATTAGCTTGCGCATTAGCAAACATGGGGAATATCTTATATATTGTACGAAGAACAAAAGTTAGCTTTCGGGGGTCACAGGGGAAAGAAGAGATATAAACGCGTTCGTTCTTTTTTCTGTTCGATACATGTTATACATATATATACTATATATATATATATATATATATATATATATATATATATATACATATATACAAAGAGAAAGAGATAAAGGACTTCAAAGCGATTTCAAAAAGTGTTTCATCAATTTAATTTTCTCAATATTTTATATATTTCTTTTCTTAAATATTTTTATTTTAATGTTTAATGTATATCTAATTTATTTAGATATAATAAGATATTTTTTTGAAAATAATATTTATAATTTGTAATTGTTGTAAATATTAGTATACATCAAATGATAATGTAATTATGTGTGTGTGCACATTAATTAATTAAATATTAAATTAAATAATATTATAAGCATTATGAAGTCGCCTAAAAGGAGTCAAACTCTACTCAGCAAGATTCGTAACATGGTCACGAAACACTGATACGAAAATGTGACGAGAAGAAAAATAAAGGATAGTATATACAAAAGTTTATTGTTAAATTTTATCGTTTTATTTTGTTTATCTGCGTTTTCTACCACCTACTTTCATATGCATATCTCTTTTGCCTTTGCCACCTTTTGGTTTCTTTGAACCTTTGTGTGTTTTAGTCGTTACTTTCTTCCTTTTTCTACAAAATAAATATATAATTATTCATTAAAGTCCGATATAGATAGTATTTATTTTTAGTATACTTTAATATATACTTTAATATATCCTAAAAATAAATTTTTTAAAAATATCTTACGCTGTAGACGATGAAGCTGAATCTATATTTAAAATGTTACTCTTATTACTAAGAATTGTGTTTATTAAATTCTTATTTTTTTCATTTTCTTCTTTTAGATTTAATGGAATTTCTTTAGCCTTTCTCTTCAAACTTGGCAATTTTGTTAAAATTCCTTTTGCATCTTTTTCTTTCGGTAATCTATAATTATGAAAATATATTTAAATAATATATATATTCAAATAAAATTTTTTATTTCATTAACATTTACCTTTCTTGAAATTTCCCTAAAGATGCTGTTGATTTATGAGCTACCGTTACCGCTGTAGAAAGCTGGCTTGGCTTGGGGAAATGTTCCACAGTAGGAAGACCTACTCGTGGTAGTTTAATGTTTTTGGATTTAGCTATATTGCGCAATCGTTGCAATTCATTTTTAGATTGCCTTTCACGTTTACTAGCACTCATGGCAGTAAATGGATCTTCCTTTGGATTATTATCTTTTCCCACTTCGACGACCCATTCTTTTTGCTCCATTGCTTTAGATCGTTGATAACCATACCGTGGCATCCATTTCTATAAAAGTTATTATTAATATTATAATTTTTAATTGCAATATAATAGAATTAAAAATATGCATACAAAAAGAAAAGAGAAAATAATGTTATTTCTGTGATAAATTTCTTCTAATTACAAATATTGTAGAACAATATAAGAAACATACCTGTAATTCTTCATCCCATTTCAATTTTGTCCTATTTTTTTTGTTGGTTCTTATTCCCTTTTCTTTAGCAAATTGTTGCCATTTTGTTAAAGGTTTAGATTTTGGAATTACACGAGTTCTTGGAAGTATATATTGAGGCGCTGGCAATTGGGCAACTATTGCTTCTTCTACACGTTCAGTAGGAAGGCTCCATATATTATTAATTAATAGCTGAACATTGTCTCTTGTTAACTGCTGTAAATAAGTATTTGGATTTGACCTATAACATTTAAAAAAAATATATTATAGGTTATGTAAATTATCCCAGACCATACACTTACAAAGATTACATATTTTATTAAAAAGTATATCACATATAAATATAAACATAAAACATAAAGAGATACATAAGTATATGTATATAAATTAATTTAAAATGATATATATTTATTTTAACCTAACTACCTTAATTCTTTAGTATCTAAAGCATTAGAATCGGATAAGAGGAGTGTTCCCAAATCGATTTCTGGTTCAATATCTTTATGAACTTTTGTTGATTTTTTAGAATCCAATTGCGCATCTTCACTTTCTAATATTGAATTAACAACGTCCATAGCAATAAATAAATTTCTCTCTACAACTTCAATATTGATTGCTACGACTTTTAAAAACGTGCTCACAACTCAGAAGAAGGAATCTCTTACCAACTTAATAACCGAACAATCGTCACTTGACTGGCATTGAATCTGCATTACCGATCGATATACATAAGTATATAGATATATAACAATAATAATAATTTCAATAAAATAGCATGTTACTAAATACGAGATATTTTTGCATTTAATTTATAAATACATAGATTGTGTTCCTTATTAACCTCTTCCTAATTAAAAAAGAAGACAAATTAGAGTCTGACATCGTTTACCACGTGACGATGGATATCCACTTATGACTCTTTTTCCTGTTAACATAATCAGTTTCAATCCAAACAACAACAGTGTAAATCGTGAATAAGGGTTTCGTCTCTCCTTGACAGACTGACAACGATTCTTCAATAGAGCATATACACAATCAATCGTTCCTATCTCCTAAATTAAAATTAACTTCGCTTAATTTGGTGAACTCTAACACATTAATTATGTATTTTAAATTCCATTATTTAGGTTAAAAAGTTTTGAAACTGACAAGAGGTACAATTAAGAAAAGCAAACAGGGTAACAGAATGAGATTTCTGTTTATTTATCAAACACTAACGAGGTGCTTATTGAAAGTTTAACAGACTACTAGTCCATCGTGGTGTAAATTATTTTTTATGGACTGTACATAGGTTTTTCTATCAAACTAATTTGAGTTTATGTATGTGGCATGTTGTGTGAGCAATGTGATTTTAATGTAGCTTTTTAATATTGAAGTAATTATTTAATATACATTATATATTTAATGTATACTAGTCAGTATATTAGTACATATTCATACGTCTTCTCTTATATACAAAAAAGATATCTTATTTGTTAAGAAAATAAAAAATAAAAATTCAATTTTGTGTAATAAAGACAATAATGAAAGTGACAGGTTCATTTTGTGTTCTTTGTAGTACAAATATTGATGCGTCTTCCTGCGTAAATATCTTTACGCCACTTCTATACAATAATGAATTACTAGTAAATTTTATAATTCGTGAATTCAAACAGATGTCATTTAATCTGCATAGTCCGTACATCTGTTTTCGTTGTTATAAATTATTTCAAATGTTAGAACGAGCACAATGGATCATTAATAATGTTCGTTGTGAAATTTTAAAATCTCAGCAACGTATATTACCGAAGAATACAGATTATCTTTTAGGCAATACTCAAATTTTAGAAGCTATTCAAACTAAACGGGATTTGGATGAGACAACAAATGGACCTAAACATATCACAGATCTAACATATTTGAATATTAATCCAAACCTTATGGCCTCTCATAATATTAAAAATATTGAACTGATTGAATCAAAAGATATTTTTAAAGAAGAAACAGATGTTGATAGTAAAGTTTCAGAAAACATATACAGTATTATTAAAAATAATAGTTATTGTAATGTAGATTATAAGAATAATGATAATGTAAATAAAGAGATGAAGATGGAAATATATAATAAAAATCGAGATTTGATCATGGAAATATTAGAAAAAGAAGTTGGCAAATATATGTTAAATGATATAGTAGAACGAGATATCACAGAACAAGAAATTAATAATAAACAGTGTAAGTTCTGTACCGAATCATTTAAGACCAATGAGGAATTAAATGTACACTTATTAAAACATAATGATACACAATTATATCAGTGTTCTGAATGTAAGGAAATATTCATAAGTGTTTCACTTGCAAGTACGCATGTATTAAAAGCACACAGTGAAAATCAAGTTTGCATTAATATTTTACCAATCTCGTATAAAAATGAAATAGAACCTTCTCTTAATGATGTTTCTCTTTTTTCACAAAATAATACGGAAGCATTAAATGATATAAAGTCAAATACTTTTGAACATACTGAGATCAATAAAAATATATCCGAAATAAGAGATAATACATTGTCTACTATAGGCAAGTTAATCATTCGTCATATATATTGATAATCATTATGTAAATTGTTAAAAAAATTTGGATTTTTTTTTATTACTAATTAAAATATTTTATTTTTTAGAAAATAAAGAAATTGCAGAAAGCAATGCTATTCATTCCATAGATGAAAAGAGCAAAGGAAATTTAAATTCTGTTTCTTGGAAGTCGAGAGGAATATTAAATTACAGTTTAAAACCATTTAAATATACATGCTCTAAATGTAATAAAAAGTGGAAAACATCTACGGAATTAAAAATACATATGAAATCTCATTCAAATATAAGACCATATATGTGTGAAATATGTGGTCAGGCTTACAAATATAAACAAGCTTTAAAAATACATATTGATATGCATAATGGAATAAGCCCATTTCAATGTTCTTATTGTAACAAATGTTTTACACAAAAAGGTGCATTAGTGAGACATTTACCAATGCATACCGGAGAAACACCATATCAATGTGAATTATGTGGCAAAAGATTTATACATCATTCATCATACAACATGCATAGATTATCTCATACTGGAAAAAAATCTTATCAATGTCAAGTAAGTAATCATCTAAATTAATCATGTATGTGTACAGTTATACAAAAGTAAATTTAATATATTTTTTTAAGATATGCGATGCATCATTGCTGTCTACATCACATTTAAAAAGACACATGCGAGTACATACGGGTGAAAAACCATACAGTTGCACCGTATGTGGAAGACGTTTCGCGCAGCGATACAATTTACAATCTCATCAAAAAATACATAGCACATCAGAAACAACGACAAATGATACTGAAGATTTATAAAATTTGTATGTTGAAAATTAGAAAAGTATTCTTTAAATCTCTTACTTGTATATTTATACATAAACAAATATTAAATATTATTTTTCATTTTGTATATTTATTTATAGGTGTAATCAGTGTAACTTACTATGTCAGGAAGGACACAAATGTAATAAACAAACAAAAGACCAATGCAATTCAGGTAAAAATATTACAACTACAGAAGAAATAACTAATTATAATTGTAATCTAAAATCCTTGGAATGAATTAAGCCTTATAAATTAAATAATAAATATGAAGAGCAGAATTTAAAGAATATTAATTCTGATAATGATATAATTTTGATAGAGATTAATCAATCAAAGTTAAATATCAATAGTAATGAAACAAAATTTGTATTATTACAAGATTCCTCGGCACAAACTCATTGTAAATAAAAATAAACATAAAAAACACATTGTCCAAAAATATATATATCATATTTTTATTTGATATATTTTTTATATATGCATGTATCTCATAATTTATAAAAATACATCTTAATACTTGAAATCATGTTTTCAATATTAAATTTATTTATATATTTTTTTAAGTTAAGAGATATATATTAATGTATTATGTGATTGATAAGTACAAATATACAATTTTCGAACGTAAAATTTCTTGTTTATTCAATTTAATTCTTTAGTTTTGAGTAGTAATTTAATATTAAATGAAAAAAGTATTGATAAAAAAGCTGTAATTATAGTAATTATTATATATATAGCCTTAATGTAAATAAAATACATACTAGTGTCTTTTTGATCATATTGTTATGGTATCTGTTTCTAATTTCTTATTTTGGGAATGGATAAAGATCTGTAAAGTCAATCATGAAAAATAAAAATTAAGAAAGCTAAAGAAACAAATTTAAGATTAATATTAATTATAATCAATGTTTTAAGACATTAGTAAAAATATAATATGAAGCATCTGTGTCATACTCTTTCATTTTATCAATAACATATTGAATACGATCAGGAATAGCCACTCGTAGAAGATATTTAATTTCTGGTATATGTTCTAGACTTCGGAATAATTGCTTTACGCATGTTTTTTTAATAAAATTCATCAAAATATTAAATGCTTCAGTATAATTGTCTGTTAATAACTAAAATATATGATAGACGAGATAATATAACTAATTCAATACTGGTATATACTTAGGACGAATTTATAATATTTTACCACAAGAGAAAAAAATCCAGGATTTTTTTCATGATGTTCTAAATATATCTTCCTTGTTTTCAAAACAAGTTCAACGTACATACGCTTCAAGTTTTCTGACTTTTCATCGTCATTATCTTCATATCGCTACACGTACAAACAAAGATTATTACTTGCAAATGAAAGTAGGTAGATTGATAAATACTTCTTTCCATATTATTATAACAATTAATAAATTATTTAAAAAAGAATAGAGAATTACTAAAGGTAGCAATGTTTCTTCACTAGAACTAGATTCATTGATATCATCAGCAGCAGAAATCTCATTTCTCAAAATTCTTTTGGGTTTTCTACGCTTAGGTTTAATTTTGTGTATAATTATATTTGATTCTTCATCTAACAAGACCTATAAATAGCCACATTGAGTATAATATATATATTTCAGTATATAATTTACCTTTAAATCACTGAATTTTTGCTTATTGGCAGTAAACAAATATGTGTATGAATCTTGAACTATTTTAACTTTTGGTAACATAGTTTTACTTTCATATATTATATCGGTTGTTGTTGCTCCAGTACCTTGAGGTCTAACGAACATACTATATCCAGGTAATTCTAAACTATGTATTATCTATGTGTGATATGTATATTAATAATATAGGCATATTCAAAGTAATATTTACTTATATGCAATATAGTTTTATATATTTATGTATATAATTCAGTTTTCTTTTACCTGCTCTATAATACTTAAAATAAAGTTCAGTATACTGCTTTTTGATTCTTTCTTAATATGCGTATGCTTGCCTATGTTGACAGCAAGCAAATCTCCTACACTATCTTGAATCCAAGAATAAATATCAAATTTATTCTCTATACTACTTCGGTGTTGAGTAATATTATTTGTAATTACTAAGATAGGCTTGACATTTAAATAGCGGTTACATATTTGCATAGTTGTATGCAAATCCGCTTGAGTTATGCCAATTTTTTGTTCCATTATTAATGATGCTATTTCATTCATATCTATGTAAAAATTATAATAAAGATCTATTCTTTATCAAGTGATAATGAAAAATAAAAAAACAGAAGTAATCAAATGTAAAATAAATTTGATGGCTAACGAAATCCATAACTGTGTCCTAATAATTCTTGTGTTCCTAAAAAGTTACCACAACAAGCTATTTCATTAAACTCTTCTCGTTTAACAAAAATAAATGATTTTTCTTCATTTTTACGAATTTCTAATTGCTTAGTAGTATACCATTTGCAGTATTTTACCTAATAGAAATATAAAGATGCATTATAAAACAGTATATCGCTTTGTCTTGATATAAAACTATTTCACATGCAAATGATTAATGCAATGAAATAATGAATTTTACTTTTTTAGGAATTGTATACGATATATGTAGAGCTAATTCTCTTTTTTTTACTGCAGATGGACCAGTCAATATTATTAATGGTGGTCTGATTTTATCATATGCGATCACATGTGTATCTATTTTAGGTGTACTTAAATGCTCCAATAAAGTCAATTTACTGATATTACGTGCAGTTATCAAATTTAATGATGGAGCAAATAAGGTTGCTGCAGATATCTAAACAAATTAAAAAATGATTGATTATATTTAATAGTGAAATATATTTGTACCTTTTTGTGTACCTTTTCCATAATGGATACTTCAATGCCATCAATAAACATAACACTTGGAATAGAAAATAAAATTACATCTCTATAATTGGGCCACTTTATACATGCATTTCCTCTAAGATCTATTTCATATATTGATCCTTTTAAATTTGATACTTCTAAAAGATCTATAATTTTATTATACTTTAAATCTATGAATCTTAAACTGCATGCATCCTACATACATAATATTTAAATAATTACTCATACGCATAATACAAGATGATTATTAAGAGAAAGAGAGAAAATGTTTACTTTGAAAAAATCTAAGCTAGATAATTTATTATATCCCAATATAATGGTTTTCAAATTGATTAAACTTTTAATACCATTATCCCATTCATTACATTTATATGATGTTATGCAATTTCCTTCTAAATTTAATTCCTTAATGTTTAAATTATCTAAATTTTCAATATATTCAATTGAATTGTAAGATAAATTCAAGTATTGTAAATATCTGAGAAGAATGATAATAATAATTATATTACGTATTAAATGGTAAAGATATTTTATTTATATTATATACTAACTTTAAATTGTGCAATCCAAAAATAACTTCAATTTCATTGTAAGATAAATCTAATCTAACAATACTCCAAAAACTACTTAGATCGCACATTTGAGTTATATGATTGTGAGATAAATTTACATAAGTTAAGTACCAAGGTGGTGTAAAATTTAATATATCTATGAGTTTATTATATGATGCATTTAAATACATTAAATAAGGAATTCCACCCAGTGGCATTAAATTTGTAAGATTGTTATGCGCCAAATCAATGTATTGTAAATAACGATGATAATATAAAACAGTAATATCTGTAAGTGACTAAAAAAGATATCGGTTAAATAAATGCATTATAGTATATTCATACAACTTATTTTAACGTTATAATTATTACCATTTTTCTCATAATACATTTTGCCAAAATATAAAGTCCAGATTCTGGTGACTTAGTTAAAAATGAAGATCCAAGTCCTATTAATCGATCAGTGAAAATACCATTTTTTTCCAAATCATCAAATGAAACATCTTCTATAGATCTCAAATTGACAATAGGTGATTTCTCATCTTCCCATAATTGTATATCTAAAGTATATCCACCCCAATTGCTTCTAGTAATGTTTCTCTTTTTTATGAATGATTCGAAATATTCATAATTATCCATTATGAATTATATTTTTCACTTAATCATACAGATGTAATATCTTTTATTTGAATCACATATGTTTATAAAAGATATAATTGTTATTTCCCATTACTGATTAACAAATATTTTTATTTCAATCAATGTTATAAATCAAATGAACATCATTGTATACAGCTTCAAGTATGTTAATAAGTTTATGTAATATAAAACAATATACATACCATTTGTATAGTTATTATTTATAAAATCTTTTTTACTTAATTAGTAGCCAATGTTTCCAAAGCTGATCCCATTAAACGATATACATGCCATCCTGTTTTTTCTGTCACATCAATAGCACCCAAACTTTTATAAAATTCTTGTGCTGGGTTCCATTGAAGCACTGTGAAATCTAACCGATAGCAACCAGTATCTTTGGCTTTCTTCAATAATAAAATTTTATAAAATTTTCATTACAGTTATATATATATATTTGTTTAAGAAAAATAATATAATTACTATAATATACACACAAGGTGTCCTGTATATACTCTATAAGAGAATCTATTTAATTACACATACTTTTGCAATAGTCTTAAAAAGTTTAGTGCCAACATGTTTTCTTCGTTGATTAGATGTAACATAAAGATCTTCCAAAAACATAATTTTTCCATGCCATGTAGAATAAGTATAATATGCTAATGCATAGCCTATTATTTGTTGATCTATTGTTGCTACGTAGCAAAAAAATAGAGGATTCTTCATATCGAATCCATCTCGTTCTAAAACTAAAAATACATAATTTATTTATACATATATATAATAAAAAAAGCAAGCATGTTACATAATTATTAATTTTACTTTTATAATCGATCTTTGGTTCATTAGGCATTTTCTCATAATCAGCTAGCTCCTGCAGTATATAAAAATAATTATATTATCATAGTGAATTTAAGAAATAATAAAAGTAATATTTTGCATTTTAATTACCTGGATTAAATTTCTTATAGCTAAGCAATCTTCACGTTTAGCTTCACGTATCTGTACCATATCCATATTTATATTTAGAAAATAAGATCTTGTGTATATTTTGGAATTACTAAGTGAAATACAGAGTATACATAATGAATTTTATTAAATCTTTAAGAAGAACAGATTAAAAATTATTACTTTTCTAAACATTTGCTTTTATAATTAGAAATTAGTGTTTTAAATATTTGCAACTTTACCCAAGTAATAATTGAGTAATAAGTTGATAAGCAATATATATATATATATATCTATATTGTAATATTGATAAGCATTATATATACTATAATACTGATAAGCAATATCTACAATACAGATTATGTATAACTTAATTTATATCATATTTTATTAACTGTAACTTTTATCACAAATAATATCTAGCTGATGGATTTTTAAATATGTAAGCTTAAGTATTGTGCTAACTAAACTATTTCTTTATTTTTAATAAACATATTATCAAATATATACATAATTTTTTATATTTACAAATAAGTATTCATTTATTTTAAATTATTTGTTTACAAAATAACTTAATTTTACTTAAGTTTACAAAATAATTTAATTTAATTATATTATATTTTCTCTCTATGCATTTATCACTAATTAAAATTTTACCGGCACTGGAACACTATTCAATAACACAAGAGGTCAGTGCTGTCAGATCGTGGGTAAATCTTACCCTCTCCCTGTGCCACTGGTATTGCACACAATGAAAGTTTTCCATGTCCGTGTGTTTGGGATGTCGAAAGAAGTCGAGTGTAACCGAAGTTGGCGGGCACGCCGGAGTGGCACACTATGAAAGCGACTCGTGTCGAAACACGAGTGTCCGAACACATGGACACGAGTCGCTTTCATAGTGTGCCACTTCGTGGCCAACCGCCAACTTCGGTTACACTCGGCTTTCCTCGAAATCCCAAACACACGGACATGGAAAACTTTCATTGTGTGCAATCCCAGTGGCACAGGGAGAGGGTAAGATTTACCCACGATCTGACAGCACTGCAAGAGGTGCATGGTGAAAGCAAAGTTCCCCTGTTCACACATTTTGCCTGTAACCGTCACTAAAGTCGCACGTGCTTCAAGACAAGTTAGCCAATAATCTTAATTCTTAATAATTGTGATAAAATTTATTGCACATATGTATTTTAGTACAAAAAACAAAAATGTACGATTAATAATATGTAAAACAAAAATTATGGCTCCACTTATAAAAATCCTTTATGAAATTAAGCTTACGGCTTTTTTTATCAACTGCGAACCAATTAGGATAGAGAACTTGGTGATGGAATTGATAACAAATATAAATCTGCCACACTTGTTTAACTAGGGACCCTATAGGAGGGACGCGCCATGTACATTGCTGGGGGACAGGAACTCGTGTAGTCACGTGATTGCGCGCGAATGATTCAACTAACCACAGCCGTTAATACATATCAAAGATAAACATGGCTGCGCGATGCAACGGAAGCTGTCCCCCACATTTTCAGCCTAGCAATGTACATGGCGCGTCCCTCCTATAGGGTCCCTATGTTTAACCTTGTGATAGCGCCATCTGGTGAAAGCAAGCAATTACACATATCGACATTCTATTGTTAATGGCAGTCTTACGAATGCTTTGTGCAAGTTTGGTATTGTAAAAAACTTTACATTGGTTAGGTACGTTTGAAACTGTTGTTCGCGAGCTACCGTGAAATAAATATAATAAGAGAGCAAAGAATACATCGATAATGTCAGAAATTGATGCAAAAGTTAATATGTCGCTCGGTAAGTGGCTTGAGTCCCGAAAATCTACAGATTTTGCTGATATTCCTGGGTGAGCCTATGGCTGCATTCTTTCCTTTGCACTACACAAAATGGCGGTGAAATTTCTCAGACGTAATAACTACGTAATGTTTCTTTCCATTCCTTTCGAATCGAGCGCTAAGTTGAATAATAATAATAATAATAAAAAATATATACAACTCTACGAGAACAAAACAATTTCTGAGCGAACACGAAGCTGATAGATTCTTTTTGCATTAAATGATATGACTTATAATTATTTAATCCGATACTGGGGAAACATTGCGCAACAGAAAGGTGTGAGATAGAGTGAAATCAGATCATTTTTGATCTTGACTGGGCAACTCACCGAGAATGCACGAATGACTCAGCCTCTATAAAAAGAAATTTTCTATCGTGTTTGCGTAATAAAAAAATAAAAATATTCTATTTTCGTGGATATTCTATATCTGCTATTATTTTGAATTATCACTTCTAACCAGGAGCATAGTTTAACTATTGACACACAAGATGTCAAATATGGTCATTTTCTACGAAGGTCGTACACACGGAGGTATATTAAAAATACAAAACATAAACCATCAACTATTCGATGAATACTAATTGCAATGATTTAACAAAGACAAAGAATCTATCCATCAACGAATTATCATCAATATCGAAATTAACGTAAAATTGGAAGACCCTGTAATAAGATATTTTTATCTCTACAATATCTATCCAATTTTAATTGATGCACGATTGAAGTGGCACAGAATTCATCACTGAAGTATTATATTAACTTCTTTGCAATCTTTTGCGACCAGAAGAAAGAAGACATTACAAATTCTATAGTTTTTTTGAGTATCCAAATAGCACGAAATTTTACAACATTAATATAATATAATATAATAATAATATAATAATAATATAATATAATATAATATAACCAACAGGGTCTCTAAAGGATATGATATATTTTGAATTCAAAAAACTAAATTAAAAATTAAAAAAATAAATAGAAAAGGTCTCGTCAACTTTGCTTGTAAAAAAAAATACAATATCTGTATAGTGGTTTTTACAACATAGTTATTAATAACTAATATGAATATCTAAGCATTTTGTTATATTATCATTTATAGTAATATTATTCCATATAAAAAGTGTCTGTGTTCTTTAATATCACATAATAACATGGGCAATGAATAAAATTCAAATCTACATACCAAAATTGTATGTTTCTTAATAAGAGTGTATCTTGGTGTAAAGATAATTTATCATAAAAAAAGAAGTGTCAAACGTTGTCCAGTTCCCGAGATAGATGAAGAAAGAAAGAGAAAGTAATCACAATAGAAAAGTGAAAAAATAAACTACAGTATACAAACACTATATGAATTTAAAACCATGCATTATAGAGATGTTAAATAGCCTTCACATAAGGCTGATACATCTCTGGAACAAAAGTAAGAATGAAATACTATGCAACTGAGTCCTAAGTATTTATTGAAAATATATAAACAATTTAAAAGATCTGAAACGAATCAGTGGGTGGAATCATTTTTTTCTGGGAAACAAATAAACCATCATGCGTGTCTTGAAAATTGTTTGAAGTTATATATTATGGAACGAATCAATTGGAAATAAACCAATATAAATTATTTACGAAGAAATGACTACATTGAAGAGTTCAATATTGGGAAAACAATATTATAAATCGAAATTAAATTATGATATATATATATATAAATCTTGAAAGAAAGATAATATCAGTAGATAAAGAAAGAAGGATAGAAAAAAGAAGAGATTACTTGGATCGCTAAAACTTCCCATCATATGCTGGACATGGATCAGAAATATTTATTATCGTGGCTGTGTTATTTTAAAAGAGATGAAAAAAGTTGCACCTATAGTTTCTTCATTTTTTACTTTTAGATATGCAAAGAGATATATCTTAAACAAATTTTTATTAAAAATTTTTCTCTTTTTTTTTTTTTTTAATTTATCTATTTGTAATGATTCAAATTTATGGATAGATTAATGATGAAAAATTAGAGTTATACTGAATATATGAGAAATAGATTTTTCAAAACTTGTAGTCATAATTAGAAGTTTGTAGTCACAATTATAAATAAATGCAAATGAAGTGATCATTCTTACAAAAAAAGGAAAGAAATAGCTCGTTATCTCACATCATTCTTTAGGAATTTTTAACTGGAATTTTAACTGGAAATTTTGTCTAGTTAAAAATAAAAATAGAACAACAAAATTTTAATTCTGCAGCCAGAATTGTATGCTCACTAAAACTTGTGAATTTTCTTCCTTTTAAGATGAGATCATAAAGATGGAGAAAAAGGAAAAAAAGAAAAAGGCTAATACAACTAATGGAAAGGGTGGTCCTAAACGCAATCGAGGGAATAATGCACGAGGACGAAATGGACTTAGAGGTCGAGGTGCAAGAACTAATAAACGTAATATTGGCACATTGAAGAAAGAACAGAAATGGCAGCGTGGTCAAAATGCTAATATTCGTGGTAGTTTTACTAAAAAACGTTTTATCAAAAACGGTGGAGTTGCTTCACAAAATATACTAACATTAAATCAGAAAGCTAACGTAAGAGGAAATGTAAATGTACGACGTGGTCGTGGAAATCGTTATGGTTTAACACGTAGTCGAAGTAGAACAAATTTGACTGTTACGAAAGCTGGATTTTTTACTGCTAATAAAACAACACTGAAAAGAGCAAATAGTGTGGGTAGTGTCAGAGATCCAACTTCTGTTCACAATCGATTAGGATATCAAAGCCCAGCACAAATTGCATATCGAAATCATGTTAAAAGAGCGAAGCAACTTCTCCTCCAAAGGCAAAATCGACTTAACTTTCAAAATCAATTTAGAGTGAGTTATTATATTAAGTATTCTATTCATTTATTTCTCACAAAATGGTTTTATTTTAAATAGTACTTTATAATAAGTAAAAATATATCTTATTAGATGTTGCAAGCAGGAAAATCACCACTTTCACTACAGCAAAGACCATTAGAACGGCGTCAACAAATTTTAACTTCTCAAAGAAGATTTACAACTGGTGGTTTACGTTCTGATCAAATTGCACGTGCTCAAAGAAGATCTCAATATGAACAGAAACTTATGAGAATGAAGTAAGAAAATATTTCATTAATATTTATTTATTTGTTATATTTATGTACAAATAATAGTTAATTAATAAGTTCCATTATTTTAATTAATAAAATGTATGTTTATATTACAGCTCTGCACGAATCACGCCTTCTAATGTGAATTTCATGTGCACTTTAGGTAATGATTATACACCAAATACACATGAACATTCCTTAAGTCTTGCACAGAACAGAAATGAAAGAAACATGAGTGGTCTTCAACAATTATTGAGAGGGCGTTCACCAATTACACAAACGATACAAAATTTAAACATGGTATAAAAAAATACACTCTTAAAAATTAGTAGAATTAAGAATTTATAAAAATTTCAAACTATTTCAATTATTTATATATTTATTTTAGATTGGTAGATCTCCTGTATTTGGTCGACAGCGTTCACGGTCAAGATCACGTTCTCGTTCACGCACACGTAACGTTCCTATGTCTGATTCAGGAGCCGATTTAGATGATCGTACTTTTAGTAAAATTATGTATAGTATATCGGCAAGTCTTGGTGTCACAGGACGAACCCTTAATGATAGATTTAGTTTTTAAATGCAATAAAACAGATTCATCTTACATTCAGAATGAAAGACTGGCAAATTCAGTGCACATGAGTTATAACATTTTCAGTTTTAATTATTAATGGGGAGATGTGCTGTTTTTTGCAACTTAGAAGTATAAACATCATTTTAATATTGAATAAATGTCTATAACATCGATATCAGATCGATTTAGAATTATTCATATTAACTTTATTACATTTAGTTTTATTTTACTCAGATAACATATCTTTTATTATGCTTTTTGATATAAAAAAAATGATAGCATTTGTTATAAAAAAAATTGTTACTGTAATATATTTAAGCATAATTTCCCCTATATATATATATAAATATATATGTACATATATATATATATAATATATATATATATATGCATATATAATTGTAGTATATATGTATATGTCTAAGAAAAATTTGATAAATTAAAAAGTTTCATTTTTTCTTCTACAAAAACATAAGATAGATATTTTGCCTTTTATTATATAACAGTGATGTGTATTTCTATAGATACATATTTATATTATTTTGCAAATTAATTTTTTTTTCGCAAATACTTGATAAGTTGTAAATGTATCTGCTTTTTTCTTTCGTTTTTTTTTTTTTAATTTATACAATCTATTTTCTGTAACGCAGAAACAAATAAGTTAAATAAGAATTTTGTTATTATATATAGTTTGATTAATAATTGACTAAATAAAATAAACATGTTAAATACTCTATTTAATAGTGGTTTATACGTACAATTCTAAACATAATTCCTTAAATGCTGACATTAGTTTTTCTATTACTACTAAATTATGTACGAAAGTAAGACATGCATATGTAACAGAGACAGTAAGATGAATGTCCAAAAAAATAGATTATAAAGTCCAAAAGTCTATAATCTATTTTTACCTTCTCCGCATGATTATATTTTTTACATATATGTCTGTTCTCTGACCTTATTAATTACACTGCTTGAACAGTGTATTTATCATTTAAAATAAAACCAAGATACATTAATATATACATGCGTCGTACGTTTCAGTAATCATTGCCTACTATGACTTGTTATTTTTGTGATGCAAACAAAGAATATATTTATACGAGTAACTTGAAAGTGTGATAAGAGATAGATGGATAAAAATACATAAGAAAAATGTTTAATTATTTTATAAATCATAGAATATCATTAATTAAATTTTTATAAATATTGACTTATATTTTATTTCTTACATAAGCAAATTATTTTGGTGAATCTTAATATAAATTTAATGAAGTGATACTATTTTAATAATAATTGATAATCATGTCACTGCCGTCGTCATCATCATTATTATTAATAAGACGGCAAATTTTTAATTTCTGCAATCAGGTAAATTATTTTTTATAACAATATCAATATATTATTCTATTATTATTTAACAAAAGTAAAAATACATTTATCACAGATTTCTTTACATTTAGTCATATTTAGGTTGTTTTATTTATAAAAATAATTAATTTTTTTAGCTTCTAAGAAAAAAACAGCCAATAATAAAAGAACAATTAAGATATTTGAATCTTCATGAAAATATTGCATATAGTCTCCTAAAACAAGCTGGAATTCCAACGCCACCATTTGGAGTGGCTAGATCACCTGATGAAGCTGCTAAAATAGCTGCCGATTTAAAATCTAATGATTTGGTAGTAAAAGCGCAAGTACTTACTGGTGGTAGAGGAAAAGGTCATTTTCAAAATACTACTATCGGTGGTGTTGTTATGTGTGAATCGTAAGTATTTTTCTTCAATTATAATAGAGAAATATTTAAATAATTAAAAATAATATTACACTATCTTATTCTGCTATAATTTTTTTATTATATTCAGTCCAGAACAAGTAAAACAGGTATCGGAAAAAATGATTGGAAATTTATTGATTACTAAACAAACGGGAGTTGCTGGAAGAATTTGTAATTCTGTTATGGTGACAACACGCATGTTTCCAAGGAAAGAATATTATCTTTCAATAATGTTAGAGCGTACTTTCAATGTAAGTCTAAGAGAGAATAAGTTAAATTTAAATATAAACGATCGAAAGTAACAATACTATTTAAATAAATTAAATTTTCTATTTTAATTTATTATTAATTCATACAAAAGTTATTCTTAGGGAGCTGTTATGATAGCATCTAGTCGAGGAGGAGTAAATATTGAAGAAATTGTTGTCGTTGATCCAGAAGCTGTTCTTTATATACCAATTAATATGAATAAAGGCATAACAAATGATCTGATAGAATGTATTATTCAGAAATTAGGTCTTAAAGGACAAGGCAAAGATGTGGTGACGAATATTATTTGTAATCTTTATGAATTATTTGTAGAGACAGATGCTTTGTTAATCGAAATTAATCCGCTTGCGGAAGATATTTGTGGTCAATGTAAATAATGATTAACTTGTTTCAAGGAATGTGCAATAACTAAAATGTAATTTAGTATTTTTTTTCAGATTATGCTTTAGATTGCAAATGTAATTTTGATGATAGTTCGTATTTTAGACAAAAAAAATTATTTGATTTGGAAGATCAATCTCAAAAAAATCCTAATGAAATACGTGCACAAAAATTTATGTTAAATTATATCCAATTAGATGGGACTATCGGTTGCATGGTAAACGGTGCAGGTTTAGCAATGGCAACAATGGATCTTATATCTTATCATGGTGGTAGTCCAGCTAATTTTCTAGATGTTGGTGGTTCCGCTTCAAAAGAAGCTATTACAGAAGCATTCAGAATAATAACTTCGGATCCAAAAGTATGAAGAAGAACGATACATCTTATTCGATGATCTATTGCGTTTGAATGAAATAACAAACAATCAATAATAAATAGATATACAAAACTATACAAATTCTTTATTTCTAGGTTTTAGCCATTTTTGTTAATATATTTGGTGGCATTGTTAAATGTGATCTTATCGCGGAAGGAATCATTGCAGCCATTAAAGAATTGCAAACAAAAATTCCAATAATTGTCAGGTTGGAGGTAATAACAAATGATGTATTAAAGTAGAAAACTTAGATGAATGTAAATAATTAATTAAATTATTTTATCAAGGGAACTAATGTAGAGAAAGCAAAAAAATTAATATTCGACTCAAAATTGAAGATTATTTTTATGGGGGATTTAGCAGAAGCAGGATTAGCGATAACTAAATTTGCAACTATTATGAATCTTGCAAAATCTTTGAATATAGAAGTTAACTTTACAGCAAAACCAACTAAAATAAAAGATAAGGTAGCAAAGTGTTGATTAATTTAGATGAATAAAAAAAAGTTCTTAAAGGCTTTTTGTATACACGTACACACACATATCTGCATAACAAATTAAACTCTAACAATTATTTATCGCAATAAAAATTACGAATGCAATATCATATTTTATTAGAAAAAAACAATATTAAAATTTGTATTAAAATTAAATTGTATATTGTAAATGTAAAAATAGAATAAAATACCCGAGTGATTGACATTTTACTTGAAATTTAAAATTTATATTTAAAAATTCGTCTTTTTATTTACCTAGAAAATAATGAACTATTATGTAAATGTAATCAGTGTCTATTCGTAAATAAATAGAATTATTAACAAATATATTACGATATCCTTCTATAGATCATTATACATACATATAGGTTTACGTCATGGTCGAGAAGGAAACGTCAAGAAAGGCGGGGACACGATGGCGAAGCCAGCATTTGGTGGCAGTCTATTGCCAACACTTAACCAAGATGGCTACAATGTTGTCTCGGACGATCTCACTCGCGGAGTGTCTTACCCGATTAAATGGTTCCAAGGTACGTTAAAGGAAAAAATAATAGATTATTATCGTTTCTAAAAATAGCGGACCTTCAACAGCATTTAGACTTTTAATAGATTTTTTAATTTTTCCTTAAGATTCTAAAAATTGTATGTAAAAGAGTAGACGATCCTCCATATTAGGTGGTGTAGTCTGCTAAATTAGGCGCCAGGGTCAACCAATTCGAAGCCAAGGGTGTCACTCTAACATTAAATATGATTTTATTAAAAAAATTTACAATGACAGTTATATAATTATCTTCCACTATTTTCCGCATTCTTCCCTTTATCTTTTCATTATCGAGGTCATGCTTTATGCGCATTTGATTAGACGTAATTGAATTACATGCCAATGAATAATAGTCCAAGGGTTTTTCCTCTACACCCAGCTGATTTTTCTTTTTACATTGTCTTTTTAAAATTTAAATTTCTAATAATTGTATCACGATCGATAATCATTTATTATTTTTACGTATTACTTCAGAGTAATTACTTTTTCTTTCTTCTTTTCTTTTTTTTTGACATATTGCATTACACGTTCTTATACATTATATATAATTGTTGATGCGCCATATAGTTAATTTTTATTTATTTATAATACATATATATGATTTATATGCATATATAATATATAATGATAGTTATTGACATGGGTTGAATATTTACAAAATTACATATATAGTATTTTATAAATATAATATAATAATAATAAAATTTTATTTGTACTCAATGAAAGAAGATCTGTGCCAAGTAATGCACAAAAGAATAATGTAGTTCAATGTCACTTGTCTTTTGCTTATGGATTTATATTTAAATGTTGCATAATATGTTTATAGCTTACAATTAGCTTAAAAGCGTAAATATTTTAATGAATATTTTTACAATAACTTATCTTATGTGAAAGGATCTTATCTTATTAGAAATGACACGTTTAACGTGTCTTTATTATTTTTTAATAATAATAATAATAATAATTATTATTATTATTATGTTTAATATTTATGTTTTAATTATATTTTAATTATATTTGTTTTTAAATTTTCTTATTTTTTTTTTCAGATCTTAGCCTGCAAAAGTAACTTAAAGCAAACAGTAAGGAATCTAAATGTACATGAACATATTAGTTATAGTTTACTTAATGAAGCTGGTGTACCCACTCCAAAATTTGGCGTTGCAAAAACGCCAGATGAAGCAGCAAAGCTTGCTGCCGACTTGAAAACGAAGGATATTGTATTAAAAGCTCAAGTACTTGCAGGAGGTAGAGGAAAAGGTCATTTTAAAGATTCCAGTATTAGTGGTGTAAAGATGTGCGAAACGTAAGTTATTTAATATTTTTTTAATTCTAGTAATATCATAAAAAAATTCATTTCTGTTTTTTCTTTTAATAAATTTCAAATTACAAATATTTCTGTTTTATTGATAGACCAGAAGAAGCAAAAGCATTGGCGAGTCAAATGTTAGGTAAATTACTAATTACAAAACAAACTGGTGAAGCAGGTAGAATATGTAATGCAGTGATGGTAACACAACGCATGTTTCCACGTAAAGAATATTACTTAGCAGTAATGATGGAACGTGCTTTTGGTGTAAGTAGTTAGAGTTTGAAAAATATCAACACGTATAAATATCTATTAGCAATTTAAATCTAATTACGAATCAGGGTCCAGTAATAATTGCATCAAGCCAAGGTGGAGTAAATATTGAGGAAGTAGCTGCAACAAATCCTGGTGCTATAATGTATGAACCTGTCGATGTCAACAAGGGTATAACTAAGGAACAGGCAGAACGTATTGTCAAAAAACTTGGTCTTGATAATGTAAAAGATTATATTTCCAAAATAATCATGAATCTTTATGATATGTTTCTTAAGAAGGATGCTCTTCTTTTAGAAGTAAATCCTCTAGCTGAAGATATTAATGGAAATTGTAAGTTATTTTATTGGTAATATTTAACATCATATTCTTCTTTTTATTATTATTAATCACGTTAATATAAAATTATTTTGATATTTTAGATTTTGCGTTAGATTGCAAATGCAGATTCGATGATAATGCTGAGTTCAGACAAAAACCATTGTTCGGATTGAGAGATTGGACTCAGGAAGATACTAAAGAAGTAGAAGCGGCCAAATATGACCTGAATTATATTGCGCTTGATGGAAATATTGGTTGTATGGTTAATGGAGCTGGTTTAGCTATGGCTACTATGGATATTATTAAATTACATGGAGGTGAACCGGCCAATTTTCTTGATGTTGGTGGTGGCGCAACTACCAGTGCTGTAAAAGAGGCATTTAAAATCATCACTTCTGATCCTAAAGTAAACTAATACTATCTTTACGTAATAAAATTATTTTATTTTTTATTTTTTCAATTAAGTACTTGTTATACTATTCCTTTGTAATTTACAGGTACATGCTCTTTTAGTTAATATCTTTGGTGGTATTATGAGATGCGATGTTATCGCAGAGGGTATCATAGCAGCAACTAAAGAACTTAGTCTTAAAATTCCTGTAGTTGTACGATTACAGGTATTGCATTTTAATATTTTATTTTTGTTTTCATTAAAAATATCTTAATTATGTTCATACAATATAAATTTGAATAATTACAGGGAACTAACGTTGATGAGGCTAAAGCTTTGATTGCAAATGCTGGATTAAAAATCGTTCCAATCGATGACCTCGATGAAGCTGCTCGTGTCGCAGTTAAATTATCAACTATTGTTAAACTAGCACAGTCCGAAAATCTTAGTGTCAATTTTGAGATACCTGCTATTTCATAATTCTAGCAATGAATATAAAATTTATATATCAGCTAAATTAATACCGATATTTGTTTAAATATTGTCAAATGATTGCAAAAAACGTTTGAAAGTAATATCTGTAGTAATAACTTCTCTTATAACTTTAATTATATTATTATTATTATTATTATTATTATTATTATTATTATTTAAGAAATGACATTTTAAGAAAATTATATTAAATCAATTTATTATGAATAATTTATTTGATATAAACAAAATCATTTCGGGGCAATTCTTTAAAAGAGAAAAGAAAATTGATTATTTTGGATAAAGATTTAGTTAAATGACGTGTTCTATTTCAATAGACTGGGCGAATCTTTATCTTTTCTTTTTAAAGACAGGCACAAATTCTCTAATAGATTAACATATGAAGTTAAGTATGAATATAATTTATTGTTTACCCTTTAACAGGGTTCTGTGATTCAGTATTAAAAGTTAAGTTATGTATGTCACACATACACGTAGATATATGAACTCACACGTGTGGTATGTATCCGATTGTTCCATAAAAAAACATGGCACATGCTTATTTAATTGAACGAATATATCATTGAAAAAATACTATCTAAAACATGCCATTAAAAAAAAATATATGTATATATACACGTATAGCATGTGCGTTGCATATATTACTCATACACACGCGCAAAACATCCATTGTACAAATTTCTTTATTATTTTATGTTATGCTTTATTTCATTTAATGGTCTATTCAATTGTTCTTACTATTAATTTCTTATACCCCAATATAATAGAATATATTGAATTTATTTTTTTACAGCTGTTATTATATATGTTTTCAAAATAGTACAATTTGTCCATTCTTCAAAGAAATATGCAAAGATAAAAAAAAATAAAGGGTAAATCATTACAAAGTTCTTTACTTATTCAATTTATATGTAAATGTGTTATTAAAATTTACTAAAAATATTAATTTTCGAAACAAAAAGAAAGAAGAATTACATCAAATCTTGTTTGATGTAAAACGTATAAATATAATAGCATTTTTTATGACAAGTGCGCGTGATATTAAAGAAATAAATTTATCTAAATAAATACGTCACATAATTGTTAAATGTAAAATTTTTATTAAATTATACTTCTCGATGTCAGTTTAAGATATACGAAGTTAATATAATTTTAATCAATCATATTTTAATGATATACACAACTATATTAAATTGATAATAACGATGTAAATTTATATAAATATGAGTTATTTTTCTTTATATTTTATTAAAATAGAAAATTATTCCACGTATATTACAAATTATGCATACACAATTATATGCATGCATCTAAAAAATATGGTAAATTATTTATTATCGTAATAAATATTACTAAAATACAAATTAAAAGTCAGATTTTCTGATTACATAATTTAAAAGCATTATTCTTTGTAGAAAAAAAAATTAAAAACAAATTGTTTTTTCAAGAATTGTTTATGCGTAAAAATAAATTTTGTTTAATAATTGAAATTAACTATTTAAACATTTGAACCTTCATCTTTTAAATGAGATTTTGATCATCAAAATTGATTAAGAATTGTGCCTGGTACATTAAACGCCGTAAACGTTGTTTTAAATAATATTCGTGAAAAATTATATAGCGGCGCCCTTTGAAACTTGTGGTAAAATATAAGCTTCTATCTCCATTACCGATTTACATATCCATGCAAGATTGGTGTATATTTGACTTCCACACTAGCCTATTGTCTGCATGTGTGCTGTATAAAATGGTGTTCAGATTTTTGGATTATTTCTTTTTTAAATAATTTGACAATTATTATGTATAAAATAATAATTATAATAAATACTTATATATTGTATCTTATTTTATTCAAAAACCAAAATGCACACACACACATATCTATACACGCGAGTTCATTTCTACAGTACTTATGAACTAAGACTCCCAGTACTTGTTTATAAATGATTTCCTCTATTTACAAACTTATTAAAAAACATTATAAAATAATTAGTTTCTATAAATAAAATGAAGGGAATACAAATATAATATTAATCAGATTTTTTTAACGTTTCTGCGCAGTGATGACTTTGAAGATAAAATTTTCGTCTAATAGAATATTAAATCGAAATTATTTAATATTTAAAGTATGTTAATAGATATATAATTTTTATACAAATGTACTTTGCATTATTTTTACTTTAATCGATATTAAATTGATTCTACTATTAAAAAGCATTTAAATAATATAATATATATGATTTTTCTGTACATTATTTTCGTCTTTGTTTAATTCACTTGTTACTCTCTCATTAACTAATTATTATTAGTTTCATAAAATAATCAATTAAAATTTTTAAAGGATTGGAAAGAGGTATATAATTATATAAAATTTTATAGAAAAAATATATAGTAAAATATTATTTTCATTCAATTCATTATAACAATTTTTGTCTATATATACTTTCTTTGTTATCTTCTCTTTTATTCTTTTTTAGTTCTTCTTTTCCTGTTATTTTCATGTTCATATATAAAATAGTAATAGTAAAAGAGCCAAGAATAAATGATACCTATCGCGCAGTAAATGGATATAAGAGCTAAGGGTAAGAACGGTAGATTATCACCAAAAAAGAATTTGTGTAGTATTGATTCGTAAGCAGCAACCAGAGGAAGTAAGCTTACATAAAGAAATTCGTGTAAATATAAGAGAGACTTCTTAAATAAATATTGTAATATTAAGTTAATCGAAAGTATATGTAATAATAATAATAAGATGTTCAAAGGGGTTAAATTGTCCGGGTAAAGCAGAGGTAAAAGTGAAGTGTGTCCAGCACTACTTAGTATTATGTAAATGCGAGCATCATTATTATCCACTGTGGCAAGAACACTGAAAGAGAAATATTAGCTTTTAATTCCATATTTTAATTTGTATAATTACTATAAAAATAATATTACAATTTGTTTACCATAAAGGTATAATTGCAGTCAAAATAGCTTTTTCGTGTACGTGCCAACCAAATATGAAAGACGTTAAAGCACAAAGGACCAAGCATCTAACAAAATTTGTTGGAGTAACTGCACTTTTTCTGCATAGTAAGATGTATAAGGCAGGCTGGAAAATTTCGTTATAAATGTATTTCATTATTGAACAAACTTTCACTTTGAATAATGAATATTTGATTTTGTAAGAATATTAAATCTGAACTTACAAGCATTCCTACAAAAGTAAGCATAAATGTAATAATAGGTTTAGGAGAAGGTAAAACAAGAAATATTTCTTCTTGTACTAAACCTCCAGTCATTACCGCAGATTTAATTGTTTCCATCCATCCTAAATATCTCCAAATAACAGATAGTACCTTATCTGCGGTAACATATAAAGCCCACCCATTTGCTGCCCAATATGCATGGACTAAACCTCTTTTAAAAGGGAACAGTCGAGACATAATCTACATAACATATTAATTTAAAACAATATCAAATAAATTTTTTATATGTACATCTAAAAACATAAACTAAATAGTTCACATTCTTACTTGTGGCAGTTGATATATAAATGGTCCAAATGTCAGTGTTAATATAGTGATAACTATTGCTGCTAATATAAAAATTCTTTTAATAAACCAACCATTTCTCATACAATATGATTTCAGTAACCAAACTATAAACGCTGGTGCTACATATAAATAAATATGTTTAAGATTTAATAGTATGGCAAAACAAGCGGCTCCTTGTAATATAGATGCCTGCAAATATTTTTTATTATTAATATATAATCTAACATTGATATAATATCATTTATAATGTACCTGATTCCATATTCTTGAAACATTAGCAATGGACAACAATAAAAAGCCTAATAGAAATCCATTATATTGAAAATGTATATGGTCCACGATCAGTAATCCTATATTGCATAACGACAGAAATATAAAAACGCAGTAACTGTTATAAGATTTATAAAATACTTCGCCTAATCTATAACAATATTATATCATTTGTTACTTATGTTTTAATTAGTTACTTTTAGGTTTAATATATAGTATACATACTCTCTTATACCATACACAAACATAAGATCGCTGACCATAACTGTAGTTCTTTGGAAGTAAATTGTAATAGGCGAAGCATAGTTTAAATTATCAACTTTGAGCATCTTTTCATCAAATAAATGAGCCACTTGACTAAGGACATATTCAAACCATGCAAAAAGTGGTGGATAGTCTAATGTCCATTGAGATTTGGCATTAATATACCATTCTCTAATAGGTAAACTATACGTTATAGCTAACCAATTACGATGTACTTCAAAATCTGTGGAATAACTGAAAATGAGAGTTTATGATAAATTAGATATATACAATATTATATAAACAAATCAATTAAATATTTATAACCTAATTTGAACAAAACTACCTACTAACAAGGAATTAACAACGCTTTAATACATGTTATTAAAGCAAATGTACGTAAAAGTATTTTATCTTTATTCCATTTTCTATTATATTGTTCTTTTTTATCCACTTCTTCTGGATTAGAAGTACTGTAAGTTTTAGTACCAGTCATTATATCTGTAAATATCATCATTTAGTATTTTTAATGATAAGAAACAACATTAGTAAATATAGATATATTAAGTATATAATACATACCACAAAAATTAAATGATAATGAATATTATAGATTAATATTACCAAATAATTAGAATCTAAAAAATATTACTGCAAATGCATCGCCTTTTAAATGTACAAACTAATAAATGCATATAATAAATAATAATTTAATGATAATGTCAAACAACTTTGAACATAAACCCATTAAATCGATCGAATAGTTCCTTTTTAAACTACGTTATCGATAGAGAAAATAAAATCGCATAAATAGTTCTGTAAAAGACCGCTAGATTGTTAGTGGCGTTTCTGATATTGTTAAACGACGTTGATTGGCTCTCGACTAGCGACGTTCATTACTCTTCTAGGAAGTTTCGAGAACAGTTCCGAACAGTGATATTGGTGGGAGAGCTACGCGTTTCCACAGTTTCTTTAAGTCTATTGCACGGCCGGAGAGGACGTCTTTCACTGCGGTTATACTTCCTTTAGCGACTTTTCTGCTTAAGCAGGTAAGAAGAAAATCAAACGATATATCCTATTAGTTTGTTACGTATCCTGTACAAAAACTAGTGTTCGTGTACGAATTCACGCGATCGATTAGGCTAACCATATATACTTATTTTTTTTCTACGGAAAGAACAAAATTTTTTGTAAAAAGAATAGAAAACGGATCTTTAAAGGTCGGTATTTTCCTTTGTCAATATACGCATACATAATTTTTTCTTCTTGTAAAATTGCTTCGTAATGGTTCTCGAACTTGTACTACGAGAAAGAGAGAGGAAAAGAGATAGATAGACAGATAGATAAATAAAATATAGAAAAGCATGATTGATCGTATGAGGATCATGTGATAAGTTATTTATTTTTCTTTCTTTTTTTAAATATAACATATATAAATTGTTAAAACATATGAAAATATTCGTAGTTTTCAAAATGCTAAACTCGATAGAATTTCAATGGTCGAGCGTGCCTCTAGCGCCCTAAGAGTTCGTCGAAAAATGGTGGATTTTACTTGCGACGAGAGTCTTCTCTCTCTACGTCAAATCAAGTATCGAACGAATTTGCGAATCGTCGGTACAGTTCGTGCATATGACTGATCGCATGCGCGCTTGCGTGTCTAATCGTAGGAATCGTTATTTTACTCGAATGATATTAAATGGTTTTTATTAAATTAAAAATCAGATGATTTAACGTTAAGTTCACATGAATTTTTTTCAATCTTTTACTTCTCTATTGGGATATAACATATGAGACTTTTGTGTTTCTTTGTCTTTCTTTTATGTTCTCTCTCTCTCTCTCTTTTTTCTCTCTCTTTCTCTCTCACTCGCTCACTCGCTCTTTTGGTCTTTCGGAACGAAGCGTTGCTTCCTTCACGTTGCCCATTAGTGCCTTCGTTCGTTCGTTGCTTTATGAAACGTTCGTGCTAAAGGAAAGATCTAGAAAACGTAATGTCATAATTATTTACTATTGTTCATATATTTGAAAAATTGGATTACTTGTTACCCCGATTTTTTTTATCAGGAGCATCTTAAAATTTCTTTCTCTGCGTTATTTTATTATTTTATATCGTGTAAGTCTTCCTCGGTCGCCATTTTGAAATCAGATCTGTTAGATCGTCCACATGGACGGCATGTAGTTGCTAGATACTTCTATTGGCAGTAAGAAAATCATACATTATAAGTGATATTTATTCTTTTTTATTTTATCTTTATTATCAACGATGACACTATGTTCATTGAAGATACGTTTGACGTGTCGTCCTCTTATTAAACTACGTTAATTTATTGTGCTGTTTTACTTTTTTTTTTTAGTCTTTTTCTTTTTTTCTATTTTATCGGATTATGAAACCTAGAAATTACGCCAACAACTTAAATATATTTCCTTCATTATAGATTACGAAAAAAGCTATTAATTTGAAATTATTTTGTTAGTCGACATATATGATACATTCATTATCGTTTATTCTAAGTTCTTCGTATTTTTAAATTCTATAATTTATTTTTTTTAGTAGAAACTGTAAGGTTAGAATTCGGAAACCTGTTTGATTACTTTCAAGATGATACCAAGTGTTTATTAAAGATTTCCTTGACTGCTTATTCAATGTTATTGTTATTTAACTATTGTATTAGTTTATGAAATTCTAAGCTCAAGGTGATGATTTTTAAATTCTTACTCATCTCTCTGATGCAATACGTATTAATGTTTCATAATAATTGTATTGATTTTTTTATTAGATCACATTATTAATTCCTTGAATCTATTAGTTATGCAAATCATCTTGTAAAGTTTTGATAAAAATGAATAATTCTATTCAATTTATCAATGATTACAGAATAGATTTTTAAATACCGACATTAATATTATACTAATAATTAAATAACTAAATAATTAAACGTTTGTGTGTGGTTTGAGATGATGATAATCATTTTTTTGTGAGAAAGAGAAAAATGTTTGAATATGTTTAATAAATGTATGAAATATTCATTGTAATATATTATTTAATTGTTTTCTAGCAGGAACAGTTGTGTAATACTTCATACTTATTGGTATCTATATCGAAGAACATTATCCAGACAAAATGGTGAAAGAAACTACCTTTTATGACGTCTTGGGCGTTAAGCCTGATTGTTCTCCAGAGGATTTAAAGAAGGCGTACAGAAAACTTGCACTCAAATATCATCCGGATAAAAATCCTAATGAAGGAGAAAGGGTTATTGTCTATTTCTTTATACTTTTCTTATCTGTTATACAAATAATGTAATTTAAATATTAGTAAATTTTCATAGAATATATAATAACAACAATATGTGTGGTTAAAATTAGTAATTTTTAATCATATTTCAGTTTAAGCAAATTTCCCAAGCCTATGAAGTATTATCAAATCCAGAGAAGAAACGCATTTATGATCAAGGTGGCGAGCAAGCTTTAAAAGAAGGTGGAATGGGAGGAAATGGTTTCTCTTCTCCAATGGATATCTTTGATATGTTCTTTGGTGGAGCTTTTGGCGGAGGACGCGGAAGAAGGAGAGAACGAAAAGGACAAGATGTTATACATCAGCTCTCTGTATCATTGGAAGAACTTTATAATGGGACTGTTCGTAAACTAGCGTTACAAAAAAATGTTATTTGTGATAAATGCGAAGGTAAATATTCATTGATAAATTGCCATATTACATTTATTTTATTAATTTGATCTTTTCTAACATTGTGATCTATTTTGTATGTAGGTATTGGTGGTAAAAAAGGCTCCGTAGAACAATGCACATCATGTCATGGAAGTGGCATGCAGGTCCAGATACAGCAATTGGGGCCAGGGATGATACAACACATGCAAACAATGTGTTCTGAATGTAAAGGTCAGGGTGAACGCATTAATCCGCGTGATCGTTGTAAGCAATGTATGGGAAGGAAGACTGTAAGAGACAGGAAAATTTTGGAGGTACATGTTGATCCCGGTATGATGGACGGACAAAAAATAGTTTTTAATGGTGAAGGAGATCAAGAGCCTGAGCTGGAAGCAGGCGATATTGTTATTCTCTTAGAAGAAAAAGAACACGATGTATTCAAGTAAGGAAATTATTAATTGTTATTTTTACTTTTATTTTTGTCGTGTATTTTTTGATTATTTGATATTTAATAATGTTATTTTTGTTTGTAATTTTAGACGATCACGACATGACTTAATAATGCGAATGCATTTACAATTGGTGGAAGCACTTTGTGGTTTTCAGAAAGTTATTCGTACTTTGGATGGTAGAGATTTGGTTATCACCATGCTTCCTGGTATGGTCACGAAGCACGGTGATGTTAAGTGTATTCTAAACGAGGGTATGCCAATTCACAAGGATCCATTCACGCACGGCAAACTTATCATTCAGTTTGTCGTTAATTTTCCGAAATCTATCAATCCTACTGTTATTCCGACTCTCGAGCAATGTTTACCAGCGAGGGAAGAAGTTTTAATTCCGGATGGCGCCGAGGATGTTGTACTTACCGATTTGGACCCTGAAGCTGAGCACAGGCGGAGAGACCAACGACCAGCTTATGAGGAAGATCAAGGAGGTCCATCGCGGGTCCAATGTACCACGCAATAAGCTTAGTTACGCAGATCTTAATAAACATGGCCACTTTCTTATTTCAAACTTTTGTCCCATTCTTTCGATTCTGAGTCATACATAAATAAAAATGGAAAGAAAAGACGACGGATATTAAAAAATGAGAGTATCCTTCGACCGCAGTGAAAAACCCCAAAAAATTAAATAAAAAGGAATCAAAAATGAAAATAAAAATAACAACTTGAATATATTTGAATGCGCTTACGGCCCTGTAAGAGAAAAAAACTTTCTAAAACAACAAAAATCTCTCATGGACTGATGTGAGCGTGTCATCAAGGTACATTCAATATTTTACTTATCCGTCATCCTATAAATATCAAAGCATTGTACATTTTGGAAGACAATGCCAACTCGAATCCGGTAGTAAATGCTTACTGTAGGTAATTGCTAATGAAGTATACTTATCACTAAATGGAACGATAAAAGAAAGTAAATAATAATGTGTGATTCAGCATAACGTCACGTTAAGATTAGTTATCAATTAATATGTAATTTGTGAGGTCTAACATCTAACTTCATAGTAATCTTTGAATCGGTTTTTTTCTGCAATCGGACTTGATGATTCTTATTTAGTTAGCGGTGGTAAGCGTAATTATCTTATTAAGACCGCATGTCGATGATTATATATATATATATATATATATATATAAATGATTTGTCTTAAAATATGTAAAATCCGTTTATTGTCATTAATTTAGTTCAATATTAATGGGTTTTATCTATTTGTAATTATCTCTGTCTCGATACAAAATAATAAAGTGTCGTCATAGTAAAGTTTATCGCTAGATGCGGTAACATTGAAAATGTGGCATTAGGAATCCGAAAAAAACAGCTTATAATAATAATAATAACAATATTAATATTAATAATTATAATAATAATATTAATAATAATTATAATTATAATAATAATGGACATTATTCCATATAAATAGTATTTCAATTTATGCGTCTCCGAGAAAACTCGTGATCTAAGAAGAATAAAAAGTTGCGAAGAAGAGAGAAAGTGAAAGAAAAAAAAAGGAAAGAAAGAAAAAGAATCAGAGGGGGAGAAAGACAGCAATGAATCACGTTCCTGTATGTATGGACAATTGCGCGTGTTTCGCAAAACTTTTATTTGTGTAATATCGTGACATCGTTTCTAATATCGTATGTTTATAAGAATAATCAACACTTAGGAAGCAGAATACCTGAAGTATTTTTTTTTTTTTTGATGGATATTAAAAAAATACAATTGGTTTTAAAAGGTGAGTCGAGATTTTTGACTCATCGGTGTGTGCATCGTATGAAATGGTATTATTTAAACCTTTTTCTCGTCTAATCCATAATCAGTATAATTAGAGAGAAAAAAAATGAAGATAAAAATGTGCACGGAGACGTGTTGGTTTATCTGTGTATGATTTATAAGTGAAAGAACAACGTGCGCGTTTAGTGTCGCTGATTTTATTATGAAGATCGAGTTGCAGATAAAGAATTTCTTTTTCAGTTTTGTTTGTTCGATAATTATGTTTTCAACATTGACGGTATCGAAGGAAAGAAGAAGAAGAAAAAAAAAAGAAGTAAAAAGACATTGATCGACTATTTTTGTCCGATCGCGCAGCGATTTTTGCTGCGTACTCTACAGTCATGTCTTTTCCACAATTAGCATAATCGAGGAAGGAAGTTAAGAAGTACAGTTTAAATACATTCGCATAATTTAATCATATGCAAAAAATATATGTTTATCACTTCACGGTCGTCTACTACAGTAAGCTATAACTATAACGATTTGCAAACGAATAGTCGTATATTTCTTGTAACCTTATTTATTATAGACAAATTGGTGATTAGTCATTTTTTGAAGCATCTGAATAAATTGGACGAAGCATAAAGTATAAGTGACAACTTTGTTTGTGTTTGCTATACACTCATTACCTAATTTTCCCTAAAAACCTTTGAAATAATTCTAATCAATCTTATATGTTTATATATCAGCGTTAAATTATATAATTCAGTTAAGTCGTGGGTTATATATATATGAATTTACAAGAGGTGAATAATTGAAGTATGAGATTGAAATTTGATTCATCTTTAAAATCTAATTTTTTCTCTACAACAATTTTAAAAAACAATGTGCTGTTCTATCGAATTTAATTTACGAATCAAATTTCAATTTCATATCTTAACTACTCGCTTCTTATAAATTCATATATTAAGTAGTTAAAGAATAATTCTATCTTCTTTCATACGTAAACTTGTTAGTATAGTTATATCAGGACTTATCTAGTCATTTCACGAATTAACGAATTCCATAAAGTACCGCTAGTATATCATATACATACACGAGTATATATACGAAAGTTTGAATTTCATAGTAGTTTTTGATTACACAAGAATAATAATATTAGTCGGAATTATTCGTGGTTGAATTTTAGCGGTACATGTCACGTGGTATTACGTTTTAAGGTAGTTTGTGGGAGGGAAGGGGGGTTCAAGAAGAAGAACATAGATGGCAGTGCGATCTTGGGTCAACGTTTTTACGATGTATCGTAAGATTGGAGCAAGCGGCCACCAAGAGGCAGCCGCCGAGATGCCGCAAAGGTTTCTGGGTATGCGGAGGGAGCCATATTTTTTCAATATCAGTTACGCGAAAACAGCGTACGCATAGCATCCGCGGAATGGAATCACGATTGTCGTCCTGCATAGAGAGCGCGTCTCTTGGTGAAAAGTGATAAGGAGGGTGGGTCAACGAGAAACAAGCGTCAAGGACGATTCCATACCGCCTGTGATATCTATATCTATCTATATATATATATATATATATATCTATATGTGTATCATATATATATATATATGTATGTATATGTACAAAAATATATACACAAATGTGTTGATATATACCTATGTTTCGTGAGCAGATTGAAGTAGAAGGAAGAAACATAAAATAAAACGTCACAAAGTGAGAGAAAAGAAGGGGAGAAGGAGAATATTAAAAAGCGAATAAAAAGAAATAATAAAGAAAGAAGAGAAAGAAGACGCACGCGATCGAGAAGTAAGATAGAAAGGTAGAGCAAGAGAAGAGGGTAAGAAGGAAAATCGAGGAGTGTTGCTGCTGTTGTAGCCGCGCAGGTGTTCTCGAATCCGCGAAAGAAGAGGGATAGTTAAGTTAACCCGTGGTAGCGCGCTCGCGGTGGTAGTGGTGGTAAAATAGTGGCGGTGGTGGAACTGGGTGGTGTTGGTGGTGGATCGTGCCGGTGGTGGAAGTGAAGGAGGAGAAGAAAGACGTGGAGGAGAAGGAAGAAGAAGAAGAAGAAGAAGAAGAGGAAGAAGAGGAAGAAGAAGAAGAAGAAGAGGAGGAGAAGGAGGAAGAGAAGGAGGAAGAGGTGGTGGTAGTGGTGGTGGTGGTGGTGGTGGTGGTGCTGCCGCTGCTCCGCTGCTGCTGCTGCGACAATGACACAGCGTCGTAACACGATGTTCGTCCGGCCGTGCGATTTAACGTAAAACAAGCGACGTTTTGTGGCATCGAGAATTTAATTCCTTTTCTCTCTCTCTCTCTCTCTCTCTCTCTTTCTCACCGTTCTACTACTAGCGAGCGATCAAACGTTCTGTGTGGAGTCGCGCGAGGGAATGATCTACATCGTTTCGTATATGCTGACGTGGAAGGGATAAGAGAGGAAGAGTGAGAGAGAGATAGTGAGTAAAGAGGAGAAGGAGAAGGAGAAGAAGGAGGATCGGTAGAAGAAGGGCGACAAGGAGCGAGGAAGAAGCAGAAGAAGAAGAAGAGGGGAGAGCCTCCTTTCTCGATGCGGAGAGTGGTTTCTCTCGTTTCCCGTGACAGTGGGCCACGATGACACGAACGAGTGTCGTTCGTTCGTTCAACGAGTAGTAGCAGCAGTAGCAGCAGCAGCAGCAGTAGTAGCATTAGCAGTAGCAGTAGCAGTAGTAACAGCGACAACAGTAGCATCAACGACAGTAGCAGCAGTATAGTATAGTAATAACAGTAATGTGACCAGTTGTGTAAGTGGTCAGCGTGTGTGTGAAACAGTATGATATTGTAAAGCCGGCTTGCAACGAGTAGTAGTTCGATTAGAAGGATTGCCACGTATAGTTTCTTTGGAAGAGAGTGATATTACTTGTATATTTGCATATATATACATATATAATACGTAGTCAGACGCACGCGTCTGTCAGTACAGAGAGGCGTCCTTCACGATCGAGGTCGCTACGATCGGTCGTGTCGTGTCTGTTCGTTCATTGCCGGTCATCGATATCAAGGCAAGATTGCGCCCTTTCATTCGAGGAGAAAAAGATAGAGTGGAGAGACGATACGCCACACGGCCTTGGAACCGGCTGAGGCGTAGTAGTGTTTTTCTCTCTCTCTCTCTCTCTCTCTCTCGCTATCGCGCGCGTCTTTTCACAGCAGCGTACGCAGGCTCGTTTACCGGCAGAGAGAGACAGAGCGTGCGCGCGTTCTAGCCGGCACAGTGCTAACATCATCTAGCTTACATTAGACGAGATATGGAAATTTTTGTCTTCTACTATTCTATTTTTATTCGTCTAAAACTATGCGCGAGTGTTATTTGTATTTCGGATATTTGTCAATTGATCGAATAGTTTTGAAATCGTTAATGGATTTCTTATGAATGGCGAGGAGTGCGAAAAGCACAACACGCGTTTCAACGTTGATATGATAAAAGTAGAAAGATAAAGAGGGAGAGAGAAAAAGAGATAGAAATAGAGATAGAGATAGATAGAGAAGAAAAAAAATTTGGGGCACGTGTGTGTTGTGCAAGTGCGATTTCGTTGTAAACTAGAAGCTAATTTTAAATCTATCGTCCTGGATATCGTCGTGTGGATAGGTAACTCTTCCGCCGAGGATGTCGTGCTACGACGACGGCCGCTCCGATAGTACGAGCAGTAGCAGCAGCAGCAGTAGTAGTAGTAGTAGCAGCAGCAGTAATAGTAGGGGTAGCGGTAACACCGGTACTAGCAGTGGTGGCAGTGACACTAGTGGCAACAATAGCAAGAACAGTAGCAGCAGAAGCAGTAACAATAAGAAGATTAATAGTAGCGAAGAGAATAGGAGACCCGAAACGTGGAAGAAAAACGAAGTGGATAATCTCGTCATTCTTCGTCTGATGCCGGTCGTAAAGGCGTGATCGTTTCTTTTTCGACGGAGGATGCGTCAAAGCGACAGCAACGATAATCTTTTAGTGGTACCTAAACGTAGGCGTGCGCCGTGCGTTCCAGTGATGTCGGGGTTCCTTGTAGCGCCGCTGGACCTGGACCATGGCCGGCAAGCCTGAGCAGCAGCCGTCCACGCACCCTGCTCCCCCGAACCACGATCATCATCATCATCATCAACAGAAACAGCAGCAGCATCAACAGCAACAGCTTCAGCTTCAGCAACAGCACCCGCAGTATCAGCATCAACAGCAACAACAACAACAACAACATCTTCAAAATCCGCAGCATCAACAGCAGCAAAACAACGGCGGTGGTGGGAGCATTCTGGTTTACGTTTCGGGGGAGAACTTTGCTTACGCCACGGCGGTGGGTGGTCAAAATGCCGCCGCCACAGCCGCCGCCACGGCCGTCGCGACGACCACGGCCGGCTATCGGCTATCATCGCCGAGGCATCAGCCGGCGACGGCTTACGTTGCCGGAGGTGTCATTCCGACACAGCTCCCGACGGCGGCTTCTTGCTTTCCCGCCAAAACCGCCAACTCGGCTGCAGCCCCCGTCGCCGCCACCACCACCACCACCACCGCTGCTATCACCACCTCTACCACCACCGCTATTACTACCATCACCACCACCGCCGTTGCCATTGACCGTACTCGGGCGAATTTGAAAAGGTCTAATGATCATCATGCCGTTTCGATAACAACGACAACCACGTCTGCGATTACAACGACTGCGAATACGGCGACGACGACGACGACGACGGCAGTAGTAGCTACGAGCAATACTCGAAGGGATCAAACGAGGTCGTCGAACGACGAAGAGGATGATTACGTCGGTGGTATCGTCTATGGAAGGACTCAAGTCGTCGCTGGTAGAGTTCTGGGCAATGAATATTCCCAGGATGCCGGTAGACGAACTAGCAAGGACGATACAAACTTTAAGATTTATCCTTCCCATCGTTACAACAACGCAGCAAACAGTACCGTTCCCG